AAGGGACTGTTTTACTTAATAAATGCTTTCTGACTGACCATCTAGCATAGCACCAACAACATGATAGGTACTTAATGAATGCTTTTACTAGTCACATTTTGAAGATGAGAAAACTAAGGCTCAGTTAAATGACTTGCCCCAGATGACGCATCTAGTAAGTATTTGGGGCAGGATTTGAACTTACGTCTTCTGGTACTCTAACTACCACACCAAACTGGCTCTAATACAAAGAATAATATAATTAAAAAGCAAAATCCAACATCTCTGCTGATTAGAAGAAGCACACTTAATCCAGAAAGATCTAAAAAGATTTAAAATAAAATGATTTAAGTTATTATGCTACTGCCAAATCAAGAAAAGGTTAAGAGGTGCTAATGATATTGCTCAATATTAAATTCAAACCAGAAATCATTAAAGATATAAAAGAATATTTATATTAAAAGGTTCTAAACAAAATTATAGTATATTAATCTTAAGTATATATGCAATTAATTCTTCTATCACAAAAGAGGTAAAATAAAACTTCACAGTTTTGCAAGAAAGAGAAAAAATAGCAACCATGGGGAAATTTTAACACTATAAAAATTATTGTTATGGAAGCAGATCCACGTTCAGTATTATATATAGTTTACCCAGGTCTTCATATATCACTCTGGCCTGTACTGTACTATACCGGGAATATGTTCAGTACCTGATCCCAGGAAAGAGAAAACTGTCTTTGTGGTAACTACTACGTAGGCAGAGCTAAGCAAGAACCCTTCACTCATGATTCATAGCCCAGAGATCCAATGTAGGCCACAAATGCCCACCAAAAGGGCAGGTCACTAAGCTCTAACAGAAGTCCCAATCTGTAAAGAGTAAAATTCCAGTGTCAGTCATAGAATCTCCAGGTCTCAATGCTGACTGAGCCAGAAGACTATAAAAAAGTAGTTATGATTGCTTAGGAACATCAAGACAAGAGCCTTCAATCTTCAATCAAGAGGACTTCAGTTTTTGTGTATCTTTCAAATAAAGCCTATGACAGCAAACCAACCATGAGAGTGCATTGTGTAAGGCCACAGCAATCCTTTGAAACTAGTACAAAGTATAAAGCTTACTGGGAAAAAATTTTTTAAATGTGCCTTTTTTCCCTCTAGCATTCAAGGAACCTACATAAAAACTATGCACATAGTAAGTTGCAAAAAGAAAAGAAAAAGAAAAAAAAGACAAAGGCAAATATAGAAAAATATAGTAAAATTAGAGACCAAATTACAATAAACCACTAGTAAATAATAATGCAATGAATAAAAATTACAGGTTCATGAGGAAACTACAAAAAACATTTTAAATAAATGTCTAGGTGAAAGATGAAACTATAAAAATGAAAGATTACATAAAATTACAATTTATATATATACATTGTATAAAAAAATCTATAGGTAGGAGAAGAGTAGGATAAAGAGGCGTATCTAGGTGATATATGAAACAAAAGATATTAATAAAATCTATTTTACAAATTGGTGGGCTAGAGTCAAAACACTTTTGGAAGCATATTTATAACATTAAGTACCTGTATTAATAAGCAGCTGGGTAGTATAGCAGATAGAGAGCCAGACATGAAATCAGGAAGACCTGATTTACTGAGTTCAAATCCAGCCTCAGGCACTTAGAAGCAATGTAATCCTGGGCAAATCACTTAACCTCTGTTTGCCTCAGTTTCCTCACCTGTAAAAATGGGGATAATAATAGCACCTACATCCCAGGGCTGTAGTAAAGATCAAATGATATAATAATTGTAAAGCAATTAGCACAGTGCCTAGTACATAGTGAGTGCTATAATATATGTCAGCTATTAACCATTATAAAAAAATTAGCTGAATCTGTACTCAAAAAAATTGAAGAGATGAACGCAACAAGCCAACAACAAAACAAACAAAAACCACACAGAAATAACCAACAGCAGAGCAGAGAGCTAGAGGAAAAAGAAAAAAGTAATGAAGATGATAAAGAAATCCAAAAGCTGGTTTTTTTGTGTTTTAAAATACAGAAACAACTTATTTAACCAGGTGTATTTGTAGGGGGTGGGGAGTGAGGCTCCCTGGCATTCCTTGCTCCCTAGTACTCTTCCCCTTTCTCAGCCTCTGCCTCCACCAAGTTGACATCTATCTCTTCATAATCTTTCTCCAGAGCTGCCAGATCCTCCCAGGCCTCCAAGAATTCACCTTCCTCCATTCCCTCCTCCATGCACCAGGGGACAAAGGCCTGCTTGGCACACATCAGGTCAAACTTGTGGTCCAGTCACACCCATGCTTCTGTGATTGCCGTGGCGTTACTCAGCATGCACAGAGCCTGCTGCATCTTGGCCAGGTCACCACCAGGAACGACGGTGGGAGACCGGTACTTGATTTCCACCTTGAACCCGGTGGGGCACCAAACCACAAACTGAATTTTATGCTTTGTCTTGATGGTGGCAATCATGGCGTTCACGTCTTTGGGGACCACTGTCCCCTGGTACAACATACAGCAGGCTATATACTTGTTGTGACAGGGGTCACACCTGACCATCTGGCTGGCGGGCTCAAAGCAGGCGTTGGTGATCTCTGTCACAGACAGCTGCTTGTGATACACCTTCTCGGCTGATATGACAGGAGATGGGTAGCCAGGGGAAAGTGGATAGGTAACCAGGTTGGTCTGGAATTCTGTCAGGTCAACACTCAGCGTCCCATCAAAGTGCAAGGAAGCTGTGATAGAGAAGATGATCTGCCCAATCAGACAATTCAGGTTGGTGTACATAGGCCATTTGATATCGAGGTTATGCTGACATATGTCATATATGGCGTCATTGTCGACCATGAAGGCACAACTGGAGTGTTCCAGGGCTGTATGAGTGGTTAGGATGGAGTTGTAGGGCTCCACAACCATGGTGGAAACCTGGGGTGCTGGGTAAATGACAAATTCGAGCTTGGACTTCTTGCCAAAGTCAACAGAGAGCCTTTCCATGAGCAGAAAGGCAAAGCCAGAGCTGGTGCCTCCTCCAAAGCTATAAAAGATGAGGAAGTCCTGCAGTTCGGTGCATAGATCTGCCAGTCTGTGAATCGACTGAGGACCAGATCGACAATCTCCTTGCCGATGGTAAATGGCCTTGGGCATAATTGTTGGCTGCCTCCTCCTTTCCAGTTATCAGCTGCTCAGGATGGAAACACTGCCTGTACGTGCCAATACGGACTTCATCAACTACAGCTGACTCCAGGTTCACAAACACAGCTCTGGACATGTGCTTGCCAGCCCCAGTCTCACTGAAGAACATGTTAAAGGAATCACCTTCACCACTGATAATTTTTTTCCCTTTTTTTTTCCGGCAATTGGGGTTAAGTGGCTTGCCCAGGGTCACACAGCTAGTAAGTGTCAAGTGTTTGGTCTGAGGCCGGATATGAACTCAAGTCCTCCTGACTTCAGGGCCGGTGCTCTATCCACTGCGCTACCTAGCTGCCCCAATCACTGATGATTTTATCACTTGGCATCTGACCATCAGGCTGAATTCCATGCTCAGACAATACAATTCCAAGCAGGCATGCCTGTCCAACATGGATGGAGATACACTCACACATGATGAGAGGGCAACACCAACACTGCTGCCCTCAATGACCAACCCAAAAGCTGTTTTTCAAAGACTAGTAAAACTTGTAACAAAACTAATATTTTAAAAAAGAAAACAAAACCAAATTACAAAAATTAGAAAGGAGATATGAAGGCAAAGAAATCAAAGAAACAATTAGATTTTTATACACAACTCTTAAGTTACAAAATTTAAGACGCAATGAACAAGCATTCATTAAGGACCTATTGTGTGCCTCTCGCTAATCAGAAAGACAAAAGTGAAACAGTATCTGACCTCTACAAGCTTGCATTCTATCAAGGGAGATAATATATCTCTATATAAAATATGTAGATTAGAAAGAACTTTTGGAGGAAGAGAGAGCACTAGCAGCTGGGGGGGAGGGGAATGAGGAAAACCTTCATGTACAAAGTGGTGAATGAGTTGAATATTGAAGACAACTCGGGATTCTAAGAGACAGAAATTACAAGGGTGTGTTCTCCAAACCTGAGGAAACAGCCAATGCAAAAGCATGGAAAAGGGAAGAGTCTCACAGCAACGAGGTCACTTTGGCTAGACTGGAGAGTAGATGGAAGAAAGGTAGTTTGAGGTCAAGTTATGAAAAGCTTCACACACTCTAACACATGCATGTGTAAGACGTGTGTGCATATGTGTGTAAATATTTATATGTAATCCAGCCCCAACCTTTCTCTCACATCTCCAACAGCATCTTGGAAATCTCAAACTGGATATCCCAGCAATATCTTAAACTCAACATGTCTAAAACTAAGCTGATTTCTCTTTCTCTCCAAACTCTCTTTCTGTCTTCCCTATTGACTGTGGAGAGTACCACCATCCTCCCAGTTACCTAGGCTTGCAAAATTGAGATGTCATCCTGGACTCCTCACTCTTTTTCATCCCCCAAATCCCATGTGTTTTCAAATTCTGTTGATTCGCAACTGATCTACAAGCTCCCTTCTCTACTCTGATACTTTGTTGTTGCTGTTCAGTCGTTTTTCAGTCATGTCTGATTCTTAATAGCCCCATTTAGGGTTTTCTTGGCAAAGACACTAGAGTGGTTTACCATATTCTTTTCCAGCTCCTTTTATAGATGAGGAAACTGAGGCAAAACGGGTTAAGTGGCTTGCCCAGTGTCACACATTTAGTAAGTATCTGAGGCTGGATTTCAACTTCGACACTGTCACAAACCAAATGCAGGCCCTCCTCACACCTGTTTTATTACAACAGCCTTCTGGCTATTCTCCCTGCCTCAAGTCTCTCCCCCACTCCAGTCCACCCTCCACTCAAGCTGCCAAACTGATGTTCCTAAAGCATAGGTCTACGTCACCTCCCTACTCAATCAACTCCTGTGACTCCCTATTACCTCCAGGATCAAATATAAAACTATCGATTTGGCTTTTAAAACCTGATGCTCTTTCCAGTTCTGTGCATCTTCATCAGCTGTCCTCCGTCAACCCCAAGCCTGGATTTTCTCCTCATCTGCATGATTACTCTTGCCATTACTATTTAGTATTATGTTTTTGAAACCTAAACAACAGAAACAAGTTATGAAAAATAAAAGATTAAGCATTAGAACTGAAGAAGTTAAAATACTTCTTTTTGCAGAGTGTATGATTATATAACCAGGAAACTCAAGATAATTAATGGAGGTAACAAATTACTTCAGTAAAATAGAAGGATAGAGATGTTCAAAAAACCCTCTCAAAAACCATCTGCATTCCCATACACTACTAACAAAAATCGAGGAAAACTGATAGAGATAAGAATACTTTTACAATGACAAAATGAATCAAAAATTTGAGTCATTAATCTATGAAGGGAGGTATCATAGTGTAGTGGACAGATGGACCAGCTTTGGAATAAGGATGAATACGGTTAAGGTTTTACCTCTGGAATATACGAGTGGTATGACCACAGACAAGACACTTACCTTCTCAACACCACAGGTAACTCTCTGAGATTAAGTTAACAGAGGAGTCTTTGATGGCAAAAGTGATTTCCACACCAATGAAATTATAGATCCTAACCAAATAAATATTCGATCAAGATATACAAGAGACCTATATAAAGTCAACTTTCAAAATATTATTAATCAAAATCAAGGAAAAACTAAATATGTAGATAGTCTCTGTTCATAGTTATCTCAAGTAGACAGTAAAAAAAATGTTAATATTTCTTTACAAGCTTACCAGTTTAATGCAATACTAATCAAAATATAACAGGTTATTTCATAGAATTAAATAAAGTTACAATAAAATCCCCATGGAAAAACAGATAGGCAAGGATATTCATAAGATGTATGAAAAAGAAAACGATAAAAGCACAGCACTCCCAAATCACAGAAAGTATTATCAAGCAATAATTCCTTTAAAAAAAAAAAGTAAAACTTATCTGGCATTAGGGAAAAAAAGAGATACAGATAAGAAATGAAAGCCAGAAAATAAAACCTAATGTATAGAAAATTTTAGTGTCTGTTAAACTGCCACTTAAACACTAGGGAATTATATCACTTGTCAATAAAAACTGCTGTGAAAACGGAATAGCTGTATGATGGCAGATGGGTTTAGATCCATAACTCCAACATATGCTAATATAAACTTATATTAAAAAAAATTGGTGGCCTAAATATTTTAAAAGTCATTAAAAAAGCTGTTACAAAAAAGAATAATATACTTGTTTTAACTGTGGAGAATAGGAACATTTTCATCAGAGAATAACTGGAGTTAAAAATCAGTAGATTTTTAAAAAAACAAAAAAGGATTTTGTACAACAAAAACAATCTAAGATAAATGCCCAACATTCATTATGTATAAGGAAAGGAAACATATCTATAAAACTAGTAATATAAACTCTCCAGTGTGTCAATGGTTCAAATACATAAGCAATTTATGGAGAGAATACAAACTGTTCATGACTACATGAAAAGATACTCAAATTTCATAATAATCAGAGAAATACATATCCAAGAAATCAGAATAAAAAAATACCAAAAAAAAAAGATAAAATGCAATTCTGGTGACGCTACTGTTTAACAGGTATTCTAACATACTGCTGACAAAACCAAAGATTAATATAAACATTTGGAGAACAATATAGAAATATATAACAATAATAAAACTAATCATACCTTTTGACCTAACAGTTCCATCTGCTTGGATTTTATCCTTAGAAAATCATAAAACTTATCTGTATACAAGTATTTAGAACTGCTCTATTTATAATAACAAAAAACTATATTTTGTGAACAATCTATAAGTACAACTGGAAAATGCCTGATGAATTATGGCATATTAGTGTGAAATGACACGGTATTATTTTTAAGAGATAACTTTATGAAATCTTTATGAAAGATGAAAAGTGAGATCAATAGAATTGGAACTACATTTAATAACTTCCATTATCTTGGGAAAAAAAGCCAAAAGAACTCTAGATACATCTGGAAAACGATTTAGAGCAAAGCGTGTTTTGCTTGTTAGCTGTTTGTTAATTCATTTGGTTCTACTTTGTAAAATACTGATATTTTAAAAGATTTTGCCTCTCACCTTGTATTAACATTTGATTGTTTTTAAGTGTACAACAAATTTTAAAGATTTTTAGTAATAATAAAAAGATAGACGTAAACTTACCTTTTCAACCCAAATCAATTCCACCTTTTTCTTTCCACTGCAACATTGATGAAATGTAGAGTAACTGAAATCCACTCTGGAAATATGCTAATTGATTCCAAAAGGCCATCGAGAGACTTTCAACTAAAATTGAAAAGCCCTACAGAGGTCTGCAAAAGAGAGCAACCAAAAATTAAGATACATACAGTAAAATACAGTTCTAATATACATGGACATATCTTAATTAGCATTTTAGGTCTAATATATCTTTACAATGCTTTATAGCATGAAGGGAATTATTATTTTTATATTAATCGATATGATACATATAATGAATATACTAATAATTTAGATTTTTCAGAATTGCCTCTTCTGTCTTGCAAGTCAGAAACTTACAATGCAGCGTCAAACGATCGATCAAACCCTTGACAACACTCTCACAATCACTGTATTCTTGTGCCTGGGTACCTTAAGTGAAGCAAATCAAAGAATGTAGAACCCGTTTCCATCACAGAACTCTGGTTCTGGGCCCCACCAAGTAATAACGCCCAAGGTGCTGAAACAATACTTTCCCACAGGACTCCAGAACACCTGTACCTTAATGACTGTGGGACTTGGTGGGCTTGTTGTGGGATGATTTATGTATATAATCTCTGGCTTCACTACAGCAAGGTGGAATTCTGATCAGGAGAATTTCTGATTTGAAAATATGTTTCTCATAATGAAACTAACTGATAACTGGCACTTTGTCTCTGGCCTGCTATTTTGTCATTCCCAGATTAGAGACTGGCTCAGTAAAATCCTGTTAACAATTGAAATATTTCCGATACCATCTACTAACAAGAAAAATAAAGTGACAGATAAAAGAGGAAAAAAAGCAACAGGTATATTTGTTCAGTACACTTCTAAAAAGATGAGGATCCTGTCATATTTCTCTACATGTATGGTAGCTCCCTGCATGATGATAATAGCAATAATAATAGCTAGCACTCATATAGTGCTTTCATGTTTGTGATTTGTTGTTGTTGAGTTGTTTCAGTTGTGACCCCATTTAGGGTTTTCTTGGCAAAGATACTGGAGTGGTTTGCCATTTCCTTCTCCAGCTCATTTTACAGGTGAGGAAACTGAGGCAAACAGGGTTAAGTGACTTGCCCAGGGTCACACAGCTTTTTAAGTGTCTGAGGCTGGATTTGAAGATGAGTCTTCCTGACTCCAGGCCCAGGCCCAGAACTCTATCTACTGCACCACCTAAGCAATTAACAAATATTATCTCATTTGATCCTCACAAGAGGATCTTAAGAGGTAGTTACTTAAGAGGTAGTTACTCTTATTATCCCTATTTTACAAAAGAGAAAACTGAGGCAAACTAAGGTTAGTCAGAAAACATTTATTAAGTACCTACTGTGTGCCAGGCACTGTGCTAACTGCTGAAGATACAAATAAAGACAGTCCCTGCCCTCCAAGAGTTTACAATCTAGCAAGGGAAGACAATACTAGGGGGAAACCCAATTTGAGGGAATGATGGAGAAATTTAAAAGCAGAGTAGGGGGAAGTAGGAAGAAGAAAAATGTTAAGTTCCCTCCTCAAATGGAGGTCCTGGAGCTCATGGCCCTAGCCTTCAGTCAGAAGATCAAATCAGATAAGCAAAAGAGACTAATGAAATATAAGTACTGAGGCTGACTGAATCACAATGATGAATTTCCTAGGGAAGGTAGGCAGGCTGCAGAAGTCCAAAAAAGTCTAAAAGCAGGAGAGTGTGAAATGGTAAGAAGACTGTATTAAGCCCAACTTTAACGGAGGCCCTGTGCATCATGGCCTTGTCCTTTAGTCAGAAGGTCCAAAAGGAGGAGCAACGATTACGTTATTTCCCCAGAGTCACACAGTAACTGTCAGAAGCCAAATCTGAACTCTGATCTTCCTGATTCTAGATCTAGAGCTCTCTAGCTTACATTTAATAAGTATTTGTTGTATAGGTAAAATCACATCTATTTCCATTGTCCTTTACTTCGTTCAGCAAATATTATTTCTTCCTGTTACTGCCAAGTGGCAAATACTTACTTGGAAAAAATAATTAGTATTTAAATGATGTTTTAAAGTACATAATAGTCTTTACACAGTTTTGAATCTCACTCCAGCTATAAGAGGTAGACCATTTTGTGACCATCCTCTGGCATAAGGAAATATCTCCTGGAAGAAGATAGGATGCCCCTGTTGTCCCTTGCTTTCTACAATTGGGTTCTTACACAAAGACACAATCTCCTAGCTTAGGTGCAATTATCCACAAGTTAAGTTCTTGTCCAGGTACCTTGTTTATGGCTAACGAAAGAGCCACGGACCAGCTGAAGCTTTAGGGGCAAGCAATCCCTTAATGAGTTTGGATGGAGAGAATAATATGTAAAACAATGGAACTCAGTTCAATGCAAAGCTTTATTGCAAGCAAAGGGGAAGCGGGGAAGAAGAGACAGAAAAGGGGACCTGATATACAACTCTGGCACACACACCAACATACTGAGTATAACTCATGTAAGGGAGGCCATGTGTTGGGAAGCAGAGTCACTTGTCCATTCTGCTGAAAGAGCATGCTCCAAGGTGACCTTATGAGAAAGGGGTTTTTATAGTGATTTTGGGTGCCCCCCCCAGCTGGCCAATTTGTACATCAGAGGTCGAGGCACACAGATTTGGAGGGCAGTACTGCATGTCAGGGAGAAAAACAAGCTGATAGTTGACAAAATATGATTTTGAGGCACACAGCTGTACATTATAACCTTAGATAAATATTATTGTCAGCATATATACATGAATATGTTCTATAATCTCATAGCCTCTTTTAAGGGGAGACCATCATGATGGCCTCAAAACCATCAAGCCTAATCTTATAACAATGGTTTCCATGCATAGATTCCATAAACTACAAGGCCTCCCTCAAGGGTAAACTGTCATGGTGGTCTCAAGACCTAATCTAATAACACAGGTACTATAGGTCTCTATTTTACAGATGAAGAAACTGACACAGAGAGGCTAACTGAGTTGACCATGGTCACACAGCTAGCAAACAAATGTTGAAGGCAAGGTCTAAAGCCAGGGACACAGAACAAATCCCCATAATAAAAGGATCTGTTCTGTAAAACTTGGACTTAGTCAAGAGGCCTCACCCAAGGACCTAGAGGGCCCACCACCTAGGTTTTCCTTACTCCAAGTCTTGTACCCTGACCATTACACCAAACTACCTCTCACACTATATAGTGCTAGGTGAAAAAAAATGAAAATATTTGTACTCAAAAACCTCACAATCTAATAGGGGAATAATAAGACATGTATACAAATAACTATTAAAATAAGTTAGAATGTGATGTAAGTACACGGGGGGGGGGGTCAGCTCATACTGAGAAGAACTGGGGAAGAATCACATCTAGCTAGAGGAGAGAACAAGAACACTGTCATGGAGGGGATGGCACCTGAGATGGTTATGGAGGAAGAGAAGAATTTCAAACAGAGACATAGATAATGGCCTCCTTCAAGGCTCTGTTCAAACACCACCTTCTGCTGAAGGCCTTTCCTGGACTCCCTAGATGCTAGAGCCTTCCCCTTTAAGGTAACCTTTTACATACTCTGTTGGCACCTAATTGTTAACATGTCTCCCCAACTGGAACATGAGCTCCTTGACAGTAAAGACCTTTTTTTCCTTTCTTTCTATCCTCTGCACTTTGTGAATGATAAGCACTTAATGGTAAGTACTTAATAAATGTTTGATTGTTTTGAGCACATGGGACTGCCTATGTAAAAAGCACCATGTATTCCTGATTCACTTATTTACCTAGATAATGGTGATGCTTTCCATCAATAATGCTTTGGAAAATGAATTTTAGTTTGTCCCACTTGTTGAGTGTGTAAAAGTACTCAACTATAATGTAAAACTGATGAAAACTGTTACTTAAAAAAAAAACCCTGAATTCTTGTACTATCAATTAAATTGATGACTCACCTACCCACCCAAAAGTTAAAATTGCCTTCTGAATTTTAGATTATAAATAAAATTTATCCACATCACACTTTTCAAAGGGTCAGTTTTGGGACTGGCTCCTCAAAAAGTATCAAAGAAGGAAAGCATAATATCTATAGAATATTCATCCTCAAAACTTCAGTACTCTCCACTGATCCTGTGAAGGATAATGACAAACTACTGTCCTATAGCTCTGATCTAATTCTGAGTCACAGGCTGCCTACTCTGAAACTTTCTTGACTAGCTGCCAACTCCTCCCCTCCACCTCCAAGCCCCATACCTTGTCAAACCTATCCCTTCCTTTGCTCTATCACTCTCACCCTTGAAATTATTTTGTAAACATTCTGTATTTAAATCTCTAAGTACCTTTAGTTTCCCCCTCCTCCCTCCCCCCCCCAAAGAGAATGTGAGCTCCTTGGGGGTAGGGACTGTTTTGCTTTTGTCTTTGACAGCTAGCATACTACCTGTCACCTAATGTTTAATTAATGCTTGTTGAATTGAAATGAATCTCTGATTTTCTTGATGTAAGTACCACAATGTAGACTGTTATTCTCTTACATGTTAGTAGTTGTATGGTCTCAGAGACTTACTGTGGAAGAAAAATTCATCACTCTTTGGTCAACCAACCTATTAAGGAGCCCCTCTGAACTTATCTAGGGTGAAAGTCAGAAAAAATACATCTCTCTAACCCCACAGTACTACAAGTCTTTATAACTCTATAAGATCTGCCAGAGTTTTCACTCTTCTGGTATATTCTTCAAAAGCTGAGGGTCATCTCCAGCTATAACAAGGGCATGGGGTAGGACTTGGGATCAGTGTCATACTCAGAAACACCTGAACTTGAAGAGTAAATTTCAAACTATTGCTGAACAACAATGGGAGAAAAACAGGGTAACAAAACACATCTGATATCACAACTGCATTGGCCCTCTGCCTCAGGTGAAGTCCAAATAACATTACATCATTGTTGAAAAACACTTTGGACTGCATGTTCACAATGCCTATTTAATTCACAGCTGGAAATTATGGATGTAACTTTTCTCTGCTCCAATAACAATTTACAAGTTGGAGCTAATTAAAAGAAAACTGTTATAGGAAAAGGAAAGGTGACTCACAAGTAGCTAAAAAGTACAGGAAGCAGTTTCAAGGAATCTTTATTTATTCTACACAGAAGTCTGTTGGTCCCTCATTTCTTCCTCATACTCCTATTCTTCTTCCCTTTCAGTCTCTGTCTGGCATATTTGGGAATGCCAAATTACTAAATGGCAGACAATAGTTCCTGCTAGTCTATCTTTAAGTCAAATCTGTATTTATTTATTTAAAGCCAAGTATACAAAAGACATGAATTATTAATCTGTTCATCTGAAGATTTTAATCTTCCACAAACTCCAGTTTCGCTGGGCAAATAAAAAGAGCTAGCATTTACAAAGCGCTTCAAAGTTTACAAAGTACTTTACAAATATCTCATTTTCTTCTCTTCACAACAACTGGTGCTACTATTACACTCATTTTGCAGAAGAGGAGCTTTTCTTTTTAAAATAGCATTCCTTCCACATTCAACATATCCTGTGTGTAGCTTATTTGTGCATAGTTGTTTGCATGCGATTTCCCTCATCGGCCTGAGAGCTCTTTGAGAGCATAAACTGTTTTTTTTTTTAACCTTTCTTTGCATACCCAGGGTTTTTTAAAGCACGGTGCCCGGCACATAGAAATTTAATGTTTACTGACTTCACCAGCAAATAAAAACTGGGCTTAAGGTGGTGGGGGGAGAGGAAGGCGATAAGAATTCCCCCTCTTCTCTTTGCAGAAGTAGAATGGAACGTTCCATATATACTGTCAGCTGAGCTACTTTCTTTCTTATGCTTTACTACGAAGGATGGCTCTCCGGGAAGAAGATGGAGCAAGGCTCTACTTGTCGAGCATGTCACACACAGAACATTTCGATAAACATTCGTGAGAGAGCCCGGGAGGTTTTGGAGTTTCCCCCACGGAGCGGGGAGCCAGGGGCCGACCGGACTCTCGCAGCAGCCACCTGTTGGACAGCCCGGCAGCCCCTCCTCTCCTCCGCCCGCGGCCGGCACCGGGGATGCTGCGGCTCCGTCCACCAATCTCGGCGCTCTCCGCGTTGCGCTCCGCTCCCCAGCTGCACCGAGGCTCAGCGCAGCCCCCAGCGCCCGGGTCGCGACCTCTCACCTCGGCCCCCTCCCTCGGAAAGCAAGGTGAAAGGCCAGACTCCCCGCCCTTCCCGCCCCCCCCGTCCCCTGGGAGGCCCCAAGCCTCCCCGGCCCCCACCCCATCACAGGCGCATACGCACTCGCGGCTCACCCCTCCGGGCCCAGTCTTATTCGCCCACCTCTTGACAACCGCCTCGAGCAAGCACCGTTGTCGTCTCCGCCGCCGCCGCCGCCGCCGCCGCCTCCACCTCCGCCGTCGATGTCTTCGTCACCGTCGTCGTCGCCGCCGCCGCAGCCGCCATGTTTGTTGTGTCTCCGCTTCCCTCCCCCTCCCCCCCGCCTTCTTTCTTCAAGTCTCGCGTGAACGGCAGCCGGTCGCGCCCCGAGACGCCTCAGGAGAGGGAGTGGGGAGAACTACTCCGGGAGAAAAACATCCACGGCTCGCTTTCCCTCCCCCCCCTCCTCCTCCCCTTACTCCTCCCCTTTACTCCTCCCCCTTCCTCTCCCCTAAATGTCCACCCCGGCTTCCTGTAGGAGCCGTGGGTGGATGGGAGAGCGGCCGTAGGGGGTGTGTGTGGGGCGTTTCTGCTGCCCCGCCCCCTGCCCCACCCTTCTCTCTCCCTCCTTCCCTTTCACCTTTCTGGATGCCGCGGCTGCTGGCTCGAAGCCGGAGGCAGAAGTCGACTGGAAGGGAAACCGAGATGGAGCTGGCGGCGGCGCAGCTCCTGCGCTTCGGCCGAGGCGCCTTGGTGAGTTTCCCCCATGCTGTCCGAGGAGAGGGCGGTGGGTCACCGTTACTTTTTCCAGCCTGCCCCGAAACTAACGGACTGGCCACAGAAACCTCGGGGTTCTTCTGCCTGGTCGCCGCCCCTATCCCGGACACCACTCCCTCCCCCCAGCCAAAGAAACGGACCTTCATCGCCTGGCCTCATCCCCAAAACACAGCCCTCCTTCGCCCCAAAATGCCAGAACACCCCGACCCCCCAGACCACCGAAAACTACATCCCTCCCCGCATGCTAAAATACCACCTTCTCCCTCAAAACACCACCCACCTCCCCCTAAAATGCCACCTCCCTTCCCCCCACCCCAAACAAGTCCCCAAATCTCCTACCACCTTTTGAAACCAGGACACGATGCCTTAATTTCCCCCTAGTTTAAGACCTGGGAAGGGTTCAGGCTGCCTGACTCTCCCTGACTGCCGTCTCTGGCCCTACCACGGTGACTTTGCCACAGCAGACTCATATGGCAGGCATTGGGGCGAGCCCCGAATTTCTTTGTATCCGTCCTTGCATATTCGAGCCGCATTTGCAGGCCCAGCGTTGAGTTTTTGGGGGTTGCAACATCCCCATTTACTTCTTGCAGAACAGGGAGGTCCGGGTGGTATTTCTCAGTCACTGCATTCGTAGCAAAAAGAACAAACAGCCACAACAACCAGACTCCTAAAAGAAATCTGGAGTTTTCACAAGGATTTGAAAATGGTTGTTTAGCAATAAGCACTTTATTATGAAGTGTCGGTTAGGAGAATTTCTCCCTCTCACAGCCTTCCAGTTTTTACCAGGGGAGAGAAAGAGGTTTCTCCTTTCCTTCACAAGGTATAAAATCACTGTCAGTTTTACTTTTCCAGGTATTAAGATGAGGTAATTGATGCTTCCTAGAAAGAAAGGAATCCCTATAATTACTGACAGTTTGCTCTCCCTTTTGTCTCAGATGACTTCTTCAGTTCTGCCTAGACATAAATGATTACTTGAGGTTCAGTCTTCTCTCACGTGCCAGCATACTTGATTTCCCACATCTTTCCAGCAACATATTTCCCCCCCTCATGCTGATGACTTAGAGTCCTGGAAAAGAGAATTGTCCTGGGGTCTGAGAGGCCTGTGTTCGAAACTTGAGTCTGGCATTTTCAAACCTCTTTAATCTTAGAGTTTGGATTTGAACTCTAAAGCACATTCCAGCTTGAAAGTATGAGCCCTGAGTCTTGGTGTCCTTGTTTGTAGCATCATGGTGTAACATATTTCCTTATTTGCAGTGTATTTGTACTGACTGCCTCACAGGCATGTGAGGAAAGCAGGGTATGAACTTTAAAAAGCAATACATGAATTCAAATCAGTCCAGCATTTTAAACTCAGCCACTTCAGAACACATTCACCTTTAACCTCCTTAAAGCTGTTCTTCTCACCAATTTGAGTATTGTTGATGGCACCACCACACTCTGAAGTGCTTAGCTTTCAAAGTTATTTTTGGATACTTTCTGCTATACCTCATCCAAGTTGCCTTGTGGTGTTACTTCTAAGATCTCTCTCCCATGTCTCTTGTAATTCAATTGTATCTGACTCTTAATGACCTCCTTTGGGATTTTCTTGGTAAAGATACAGGAGTGGTTTGCAGTTTCCTTCTCCAGCTCATTTTACAGATGAGGAAACTGAGGCAAACAGGGTTAAGTGACTTGCTCAAAGTCACACAGCTAGTAAGTAAATGGCTGAGGCCGGATTTGAACTCGTGAAGATCAGTCTTCCTGACTCCAGACCTGGCACTCTATTCACTTACCACCTAGCTCCCACCATCGATGTCTCTAGCACCATAGTTTAGACCTTCATTTCCTGTCTTCTTTTAATGGTCTCCTATGTGCTCAGGCTGGCTTGGGACTGGAACTCAGATTCTGTAACTTCTTATTCAGTCCTTTTGCCATGCCTCTGTCAAGGATACCTAAGGTTAAATTCCTCAAATACCAGTTGTTTCACTAGGCAGTTTACTTTAATAACCCTGCTGCTATTCAGTAACAATAGTAATTAATTGCCTGTCAGTATTATTCAAAGTATCCTCACCTAGAGCTCCCTACACAGGTAAAATCATACTTCTGGACTCCTCCCCCCTCCTCCCCCACATTTAAGAACTGGTAGCCTGTCTTTTTTTCTGCTGAAAACTAGAGGCCCTTGCTTCATTTGTGCCTGGTAGGACAGAATTTGATTTATTTCCAAAATAAACCAGTTTCCTCAGCTAAGGAATTCAAGGAATTATTCTGTGTTGTTATATTTTTTAGTGCCATCTAGGATTTTAAGCTAGGGAGCAAGGCCATGGTTTAGGTAATTACATCTGCTTATGAAAGTCTTTTGTCTTTTCAGTCTATGTTGGGACATAGTAGGGACACTGCAGGATATAAACTTTCATTAATTGTGATTTCTCACTGAGAATTGGTCACAAAATTCAGTGGGTTTATTTAGCCATGGGTGTGATGGCAGTATTTACCACTTTATTTGACTCAGGCTAAGCAAAAGATCTGAACAACTGTCCTCTCTCTGAAGCTTGGTATTGTAATGTGACTGAGCCAACCAAATACTGTTCTTTGACAGTTTTCTACTTCTCACTATTTTCAAACAATGCAAGGTATTTATTTTCAATGTTCTAACTCTAGGATTAATATCAGTCTCTCAAGCATCTGTCTTTTGTCTTTCAGTATAGGAATCTTCAAAGTCATACATGATAGTATAGCTAGTGCAATTATGTAGTTTCCTCATCTCTAAAATGAGCTGGAGAGGGAAATTATAAACCACTCCAGTATCTTTGTCAAGAGTCAGACATGACTGAACGACTCAACAACAATCACCAGCTAGTGTCTTGAGGTCAGATTTGAACTCAGGTCTTCCTGACTTCAGTTCCATAGCTCTCTCCACTGACCTACCTAGCTGTCCCTTAACAACATACTGCTGTACAAATTACTGAATTTTCTTACTTCTCCATTATTTTCCTTTATTGAAAAGGGCTTCAGCAACCACCTTAACCACCTTTTGATGCTGCTTCTGTATTCTTTTTCTCCATCCTTGTTGCCATTTCTTCTCTGCTTTTTTCTCTCCCACTATTCTTTATCTGTGCCCCCATTTTCCAGTTGTTAGCCACAGGCTTTGTTTTTCATAGCTAACATATCGTAAAGTAGTAAATCACAGTACTTTATAGATAAGTGGACCCTTGGAGATACTAGGACTCCTGCACTTCAAGATTGGCCCTGTGCTAACTCCTTAAGTGTTCCAGTGTTTTAAATATTAGGTAAATAAGTTATGGCAGTAGTTAGAACATTAGAGATCTAAGTCCAGTTCGCATCTTATTTGACCATGGATCAGTGGTCAATGGATCAATCAATAAAATCACTTAATGTCCCAGAGCCTCAAATTCTATAAAATTGGTATAATACTTATACTACCTACCTCACAATGCAGAAAAAACTGTAAGATTTAAAACACTATAAACACCTAAGCTGTTGTTATTCATATAGAGAAAGTATTATTTGTCACTGGTGGAGAACTTCAGCTCTGTTGACAGCCCTTCTTGCATCTCCCCTCCCAGGAATCAAAGCACTGAATGAATAACCACTCTAACACTTCTCCTGAAACACAACAGTAAGAAAGTTAATTACAAGTTCTCCTTCCTCAAATCAGGAATCCATGAGAATATTTGTTTATTTTTTTCCAAGTTGATCAGAAACTAGCAAGTTCATTGTTAACAAGCAAAAGTTTTGGCGACATATAATGATTTGCTGCTCAGTACCATGCCCTCCACCCCCACCCCATCTCCACAAAAAGAGATGATGCAATACAGTGTGTTAAAACTGGGGAAGATCATTTTGATGATGTAGATGCTGAAACTATAAATCCTGGGCCTGCTATTAAAGTGCTAAAAAGAATAATGAACTATTATTTAAATATTTGACTACTGAAAGTAAATTAAATGATTGACTGTAAAATTCTAAGGTTTTTTAGAAAGTCATACTGGAATAAAGAACAAAAAGTTATCTGAATGTTGATGTTAAGAATTTTGCTTAATACTTTTGTTAAAAATTAATTCCATGTACTTGACACAAATCTGATATATTTTGCTATGAATGTTTATTTTATTTTGATAAAATAACTTCATACTTGTGTACTGTTGTAGTTTTAAAGAACTTACACATACATTATCTCAATAATATGAATACTAAATTCCTACACAATGAAGATACTAATCTTTTAAAAATAAATATTTGCGAAAAGGAAGTCATGCTTGTGTCATTGGAAAATGGCAGCTCTTTTCTTTAAAAAAAAAAATCACAACAGAAGAGGAAACTACATAGTGATGGTGTTTTTTCAAGTAAATGGAAACCAGAGGAACGATACGACCAGCAAAGAATCTAGTAAATAGTCTTGCTTCCCACATTTACTAAGGTGAGCCTCCCCAGTAGGGAACATGGTAGAGTGGGAAGAGCTTGAAGTTTGGAGTTGATCACTTTAGTAAAAAGTGAGCAGGCAAGTCATCGAGCATCCCTTGGCCTCAATTCCCTCATCTGTAAAATTGGGGAGGAAAGGTTCATGTTCCTCTACAGCTGTAAATCTTGAAGAAGTTTCATTGTTTCTGTTGCCTGACTCCTAAGTACAGTGTATTAGTTCCATAGTATTGTGTGACCAGATGGAGGCATGCTGCAGAGTTCTGATGAGCAGAGAAGGTAACATGACCCAGCAGCCTGTCACCAGATTCAGGGGCTAGAGACTTGACTATCATGATCAGTTTAAATAGCCTCTGTTCGTCCTCCCTTTTTCTGTCTTCTCTGCCCTGCTGCCACTTACCATACTCTTTTCGTCTTTGACTCTCAGCTTTATGTACTTTCTTCTTGAGGATTCCTCTGTTCTTCCTTCCTCATACATCAGCTTCTTCAGCCTCTTTACAATTCTTCTTTTCTCATATATGCAAAGGCTTTACTTAGTGTTTCTTCTTTTGCCTTTTCACCTGTAATTGTCCAACATTGTGGTAAAGAATGTGTTTTGTAACGCCAACCAGAAAGTGTCTAGAGAGATAGAAACAAGTTTATATGTCTGCTGACTGGGCAAAGTTTGTTTTCTCAGACCAGATCTAAAACACATCAATTCATACCCACATCTTCATAAAGACTATGATATAGCAAACACTAATGGTTCTTAACTTTTGAACATGGTGATTTCAATTTAATTCCTTTGTTATCAGCTCGTCATCAACTATCTTTTAAACACTTACTATATTCTAGGCATAAGTGCTAAGAATACCAAAAAAGGTGTAAACACTGCCCTTGCCCTCAGGGAGCACTCTCATCTGTAGCTCCAGGAAACTGTAGCATGTGCAACAGCCACATCCCAGTAAAACCATTTTGACAAATGGGCCAAACCATGTTGAGAGTAACCAACAGGCCTCAGACCCATCAGTGAATTAGAGGGATATCTACCCCTAAGCATGTGAAGACTTCCCCTGGCGGAATGGGCAGATAAGACAGTTGTTCCAGTGGCCATGAAGGTAGTTGAAGTAGGTTCTGTGGAGTACTTAGAGCTTTGTCAGACATTGAAGACACCATCCCAGGTCATCACCACTCACTTTCGTCTTGCCACTGGACTTCAGTGACTAGAAGAGAGAGTGAAACTGGTGATTCTGTGCAACTCTGTCTCACTTCAGTCCAGTTCACTAAAAAGTCTGGTGGACATTACCCCATGATGTCATTGGTTCTCTTTGAAAATAAAGGATGAACAACAATAACAATTGAGGAGACAACATGCATATGTAGATGTACTGCATAGGGTCTCAGTCTACTCTCCAAACCCACAATTGAATTAACAGGTTGGGTCCCCAGAATTTCAGGTAGCTGCTACTCACCTCAGGGTTTTAGGGATAACTGCAGTGGGCTTGGGGAGGGGGATTTCTTTTAACTGTTGCTCATAAGCCTGCATTTAGTTCCCAATAACAATCACTTACCATCTCCCCAATATCTATTGATATATACTGAGAAAATAAATAACTCAAGTACAAAAACCTCTGAAACTAGGAGTCTTCTCTCTTCTACTCTTTGTCCTTAGAGAAGGTCAACAAAGTAGTGACTACCAAACATTCCCTTTCACCGAATTTGTTTCTGGGTGGTGTATAGCTAAAGAACAAGTTGTCCCTTTGGTTACAGGATGTGGTGTCTCTGCTGGGTGCATCAAATCACTGTAGGTCAAGCAGGTCACTCCTCAAGGCTGGCTGTTCACCAGACTTAGCTGCTACAGCTACCAGCAGTCTGCTTGTGGACGCCAATTTCTGGGCCTCTGCTATCTCTTCCATCTTTTAGGAACCCACAATTTTGTAAACTCGTCTGTTCTATCTCTGATAATCATTCACTAGTACTTAGGCAAGAATGCACACACCAGAGATAACAGCAGAAGTAGTGCCTGCCATATGTTCATGGTCACATGATAGCCAGGTGGAGCAATAGATAACTGGGGCCATCAACCCACTGCTGTCATCTCTCGCCTAGAGATTGACCCAGCATTTCTTCTACATGGTATGATCAATAAAGTCACATTTTCAGTTTGGTGCTTGATTGTGTACCGCTATTGTTGCTTAAGTGTTTTCATTTGTATGTAGCTTGTCTTCCCAACTAGATAATGTAGTCCTAGGCAGAGGACAGCGCGTCTTATATTTCTTTTTTATATTCTTAGCACATGGCAGATGTTCGTTAATTGAGACAGAATTATCTGGGAGGAAAAAATCCAGGTCATCCATCATTTTGTTGTACAGTCGTGTCTAACTCTGCAGGACTCCATCAATTTTGTCTATGGGGTTTTCTGGGCAAAGATGCTGGAGTAGTTTGCCATTTCCCTCTCCCTTTTGTTCCCATTTTAGAGATGAGGAGCTGAGGCAAGTAAGGGTTAAGTCACTCGCTCAAGGTCACACTGCTAGTAAGTGTCTGAGGCTGGATTTGAACTCAGTTCTTCCTGACTCCAGGCCCAGCACTCTATCCACTACGCCACTTAGTCTGCCCCAGTCATATAGTATATTTTTGGTTAAATATAGCAACCCATGATTGTTTATCATTATACCCTGCAGTAGCTCCTGAAGGCATCAGTATATTGCCGAGGTTTAAAAAGTGAAGTGACTTACCCAAGATCACACTGGTTTTTAAGTTCAGAATTGAAATTTGAACTCAGATTATTTTATACCTATATCAAAAGGATAAATCATCAGCAGAACACTAAACTATGCAAGAAGACAGGGAAATTTTTGGTAGAAATTTTGCATGCAAGATGATAAAGTTTTGAAACTTATTTCCTGAAAAATTCTCCCCCCCCCTTTTTTGAAAAGTTTATTTACTGGTAATTAGGTATCCCGCCATCATATTTACAATACATGGTAGAAAGCAAAAAATGATAGATGGAAAAAGTTTAATCTTTTTCAGCTATTTAAATAACATACTAGTTTGAGTAAAAATGGAAAATAGTGATCTAATTTGTGTTTCTGTTCAAAAGATGGTAACAAAAACTGTGTTTTTGCTCTCTCATTTCTGTGTTGAGAAATAGGTTAGTCAAGGGAGGAAAAACATTCTTAAAGAAATGTGTACTTGAATTCCTTTAATAAACTTTTTTTTAATTTAAGCTCTTTTGTTTTGTTTTGTGGCGGGTGCCAGCAGTTAAGAAGAAACTTCTTGACTTGCCTGTCCTCTTGGAAAACTCCTCCTCGTTTCTTAAAATCTTCCCAATCAGAAGCTTTATATAACGTATCAGATAATGGGGTAACATTTGCTCCACTTCAAACATTTACAGAAGAGGAAATGATGATTAAAAACATGGGTAAGTATTTGTAAACTTTCCATTATATGTTAATTTTATAATTAAACTTTGTACAATAATACTATTAGTTATGTTAACTTAGGTGTTGTGGGCTGGTTTCTTAAATCTTTCAAACAAAAATTTAAACTTCTTTTGGTTCAGAACTGAAATTAATTGGTGGTCCTAGGCCTCCAGTCAATAACATGCTACTACCAATTTAGACAGCAAAGGTTTGTTGATATATGCATTCCAAAACCAGAGGTTTGTGCCAGTTTTATGCTGGAACTCCAATTAGTTTATATTTAAGAAATTGCAGTGTATTTAACAGTCCATAGAACATACAATGTCAAAATCTCTGTTGGGGAAGTTTACCATTAGGTACATTTTTCTCTTCCTTGATTCTCTTTAATATGGTAATGTGTTTCTTATATGCTCAACATATGCTGACATCCTTATCTTTTATCATACTGTGAAGTTTCAAATTATTATAGTTGGAATTTTCTCCCATTTCTACCACTTTGTATCATAATTTCTGTAAGTCAAAAGGAGACTGTATCAAGCGATCATAAGGCATTTATTAAGTATCTGCAATGTGCCTAGTACTGGACTAGACTCTGGGATGCAGATGCAAAAGTGACAGGCCCTGCTGTTGAGTTCTTGGGGGATGCAACATATTCACAGATAAGTTAATATAGGATATGTATAAAATAAATATACGGGCATTAGGAGGAGGGAGAGAGGACATAACTGAGGGAACCTGGAAGGGGCTTATAAAGGGGGCAGCACATGAGCTGAACCTTGAAGGAGACTGCGGCTCCACGAGGCAAGAGTGAAGAAGGAGAACTTTGCAAGAATGGGAGACAGAAGCTGGAGATGGAATGCAGGATGCCCAGAACAGTAGGTAAGTTATTTTCACTGGAGAGTGGAGTGTATCCCCTCTGCTCTCTGGGCTTGAATCAAATTGTGAATGGTATGTAAATGCCAAACAGAAGTCTGTATTTTATCCAAAAGGCAATGGGGAACTGTTGAATCTTCTTGCGCAGGACAGCAATATAGTCAGATCTCTGTTTTCAGAATATCAGTTTGTCAGCTCTATAATGGATGGATCAGAGAAACAAGAGACAGGGAGACCAATTAGGAGGCTATTTCAGTAATCCTGGTAAGAGGTGATGAGTGTCTGAACTCAGGGGGTTGTGGTGTGAAAAAATAGAAGAGGATGGATTTGAGAGCTGTTGCAGTGGTTGAATCAACAAGACTTGGCAACTAAGATATAAAAGGTAAGTAAAAGTTAAGACCTGAAAGTGATTCCTAGATTATAAACTGGAAAATAAGTGAAAGAAGTGTGGTATCATCAACAGAGAAATTAGGAGGAAGGATGATTTGGGGGAAAAATAATGAGTTCTCTTTGGGTATGTTGAGTTAGAGATGCCTATGATATACCCGGGTGATGTCCAGTAGATACTTGGTGATGGAAGATTAGCTTAGGAAAAAAGACAACTGGGTAGGTAGTTTTGGGAATCGTCTGCATAGAGGTGAAAGCTGAAGCCCCCGGGGAACTGAAGAGATTGACTGTTAAGAGAGAAATGGAAAATGGCCAGGACAGAGTCCTGAAATACACTTGAATATAGGTGATGGGCCATGGATGATGATCCTACAAAAGAAACCAAGAAGGGTTAATAACAGGTTAGAAGCTAGCCACAGCAGAGTAGTATCATGAAAACAAAAGAAAGGATAGAACATGCAGGAAGCAGTGGCCAACAGCATAAAATAATTTCAGACATTTTGTGGGGGAGAAATCCCACTAGTATTTGATTCATCCAGATAATGAATTATAATATTTTTTTCCTATTAATAGGATAGTATCTTAAGAGATGAATAGATTTTCTCTTTTTCCTCCTTACAGTTAAAAAATTTGCGGAGAAACAAGTTGCTCCTTTCGTGGCAGCAATGGATGAAAATTCGCAAATGGACAAATCAATAATAGAAGGATTATTTCAACAAGGGGTATGTGTATATACACACATACAACACATATGTATATTTTTCGTGTTTTTGTTCTGTTTCAAAGCTAAACTCATTCCACTGTGAAAATACATGCATATTTTTAAAATCAGGAAATTTAGCAATCATGTACTTAACATTATATTCCTTAGCTAAAAATTATTTTCATTCTCTGTAAGTCCAAGGCCTGCCTTATATTTTCCTGCTCAAAAGCACTTTAAAAATCAGAATGATCTTGTGAGTAGAAATACTTCTGCACTATAAATATTTAACTGAAAGAGAAGGGATGTAATTTCTTTAGGTATTTTCTGAGGAGATTTTTAGACATTGGTGATTCTCTTCTTACCTTATTAAAATAATGTAGAGACAGTTCTCACTTTATGTAAATTTGCAGTAAAACTCTTTTTGCAGATGACAAAATGACATACTTAGGAAGTCCTAAAGATTCAACTAAAAAGTTAGTGGAAACAGGGCAGCTAGGTGGCACAGTGGATAGAGCACTGGCCGGGGAGTCAGGAGGACCTGAACTCAAATTTAGCCCCAGACACTTGACAATTACTAGCTCTGTGACCCTAAGCAAGTCACTTAACCCCATTGCCTAGCCAAAAAAAAGTGAAAACAATTTTAGCAACATAGCAGGATATAAAATAAACCCACATAAATCAACAGCATTTCTATATGTTACAGCAAAACCATGCAAGAAGAGATAGTAAGAGATCCCCCATTTAAAATAACTGTAGACTATATAAAATACCTGTGAGTATACCTACTAAAACAAACCCAGGAACTACGTAAGTATAATTATAAAACATTTTTTTTATAGAAATAAAGTCAGGTTTCACTAATTGGAGAAATATTAATTGTTCATGAGTGGGCAGAGCCGTTATAATTAAAATGACAATTTTACTGAAACTAATTTATTCAATGCCATTCCAATTAAATTACCAAAAACCTTTTTTACTGAGATAGAAAAAAAAAATAAAATTTATTTGGAAGAACTAAAGGTCAAGAATATCAAAGGAATTAATAAAAAAGTAAGGGAAGGAGTTTTAGCATTATCAGAGCTTTACTTTAAGGCAGTAATTATGAAAATTATCTGGTACTGGCTAAAGAATAGAAGGGTAGATCAATGGAACAGAGTAGATATACAATATACAGTAGTAATGATTACAATAACCTTGTATTTGACAAATGTGAAGATTTAAGCTTTTGGGACAAGAATTTATTATTTGGTAAATATTGTTGGAAAAGCTAGACAGCAGTCTGGCAGAAATTAGGCATAGACCAATATGTTATACCATTTACCAATATAAGGTCAAAGTGGATGCATGACCTAGCTACAAAGGGATGTATAAGAAAATTAGAAGAACATTTAACATCCTTACCTATTAGACATGGATAGGAGAATAATGTATGAATAAATAAGATAGAGAGCATAATGGATGTAAAATGGATAATTTCAATTATATTAAAAAGAGTTTGTACAAATAAAACAATGTAGCCAAGATTAGAAGGAAAACAGAAAAATTGGGAGAAAATTTTCATAGACAATTTCTCAGTAAAGGTCTCATTTCTTAAATATACAAAGAACTTTGTCAAATTTATAAGAATACAAGTCATTCCTCAGTTAATAAATGGTCAAAGGATGTGAACAGGCAGTTTTTTGATGAAGAAATCAAAACAATTTTAGTCATGAAAAAAATACTCAAACCACTATTGATAAGAGAAATGCAAATCAACTTTGAGGTATCATCTCACGTCTATCAGATTGACTAAAATAGAGGAGGAAAGTGACAAATGTTGGAGAGGATGTGGGAAAATTGGGACCCTAGTTCACTGTTGGTAGAACTGATGCAACCATTTTGGACAGCGATGTGGAATTATGTCCAAAGAGTTAATAAACTGCCTATACCCTTTGACCCAGGAAAACCACTATTAGGTCTGTTTTCCAAAGTGATCAGGGAAAAAAGAAAAGAACCTATATGTTCTAAAATATTTATAGCCCCTCTCTTTGTGGTGGCAAAGAACTGGAAATTGAGGGTATGTCTGTCAATTGGGGAATGGCTAAACAAGTTGTAGTATGTAATTATGATGGAATATTACTGTGCTTTAGGCAATGATGAGCTTGTTTATTTTAGAAAAACATGGAAAGACTTGCATGAAATAATGAACAGTGAAATGAGCAGAACCACGAGAACATTGTACACAAGGAATAGCAATATTGTTCCAAGAACAACTTTGAGTGACTAAGTCATTTTGAGTATTATAAATACTCAAATCAACGTCTAATGGTAACCTCTAGAGCAGGGTGGGGAGTGAGGTTGAAAAAAAAATAAAAATGCACAGAGAACAAAAGAAAACTTAGAAGGAAGCACAGAAAGCAAGATAGTTTGAAAAAAATGTGTAACGTTTATTACATGTTTTTTCAAAAAAGGTAAACAGTGTGAAGTTGAAATTTATGGTTTTCTATGAAATCTTTTCATGTTGTGCTGTGTATGTGGAAATTTTTATCTTTTTGTGTTGAAATTCAAAGTGAATAAACATTTTTAAAAATAAAACAAAACATTGGGCTTATCCCAGTTTTAGTACTTCAGTGACCTGTTCCAGGCACTCTTCTACAATTTATTACATATATTGTACTAGAGATTATGGACCAGAATGAGGCTATGCAAAAAAAAAAGTTGAAATGTACCCTAATTTATAGTAGTCATGATGTTCATTTGTAATTTATTTCATGGCAGGATGAAAAGAGCACTTGATTTTGAGCCAGAGATCTAGGTTGGGATTCTGGCTCAACTATTTAATAGCTGTAGAGTCTTGGAAAGTCACTTTGCCTTTGTGGGCCATCATCGTCTCATATTTATAATGAAGTAATTAGCCTTGATCCAGGGACATCCAAGTTTTTCGGTTGTATTTGACATGATAAAAAAAAATTAATAGTGCAAACTGAGTGGATTAGTTATTAATTACATATTGTTTCAATACAGTTCAATTATATGATTGCTAACATGGTATGTGACAGCAGTCAGTTCCCATAACATTAGTGAGAGGTCAAGGGATTAGTATGTAATTGGCCTACTTAATTATGTGTGCTAGCTAAGTAGATTGATCTATAAAGTTCCATCTATTTCTAAATCCTATGAACTCTAAGTCTTCAAATACTTGAAAATAATGATAAATATGTAAAGTTCAATATTATTAGTCACCTCCAGTAGTCAAATACCCTACTTCACAGGGTTTTTATGAGGAAAGCACTTTGTAAACAATGAAACACTACAGAAATGTGAACTGTAATATGTGAAACTTGAAGTTGATGAACATTTCAGTCATGTGTCTTTTGATCAAAGTTGCGAATCCAGTACTCCCAGTGCAAGCTAAGCTATGAAGAAAAGATTTTCTTTGAGAAAATGCATCCTGGAACAGTGGAAAGAATGCTGTCTTAGGAATAAGAAGGCCTGGGTTCAGATCTCACCTTTGATGCTTACTACTTTATTTTCTAAGGCAGTTTGGGTTAAGTGACTTGCCCAGGGTCACACAGCTAGTGTCAAGTGTTTGGTCTGAGGCTGGATTTGAACTCAGGTACTCCTGGCTTCAGGGCCAATGCTCTATCCATTGTACCACCTAGCTGCCCCTGATGCTTACTACCTTAATGACCTTGATATGTCTTTCCTTTGGACTTCAACTTTCTCACATTTAAAATGGAGTTCTACTAGATAACCCTAATTACTAAGGCCCTTCCAATTCTTAAGTGTATGATCCTTAGACCATGGTTAGGTCTGATAGAAATACAAGAGCATGCAAAAGATCTAGGATTTCATCATTTTAAGGAGCTTCTCACGTGAAAAGTCTTTCCACCTTTCACTTCTGTGGCTATTTATATATGAATCCTTGGAGTTCCTTCAGGCACATAGTAGTTGAATGACTTACTCAAGGTCATACAGCTATTGTATGTTAGGGGAGGAAGTTAAGCCTGGCTCCTCCTAGCTGTCAGCCCAACACTATCCACTATACCACTGCAGTATCATGTAGGTGGAGAAATGAGTAAATTGGAAATAGAAATTACTCACTTGATACCTTCAATTTATGGTTGTGCTGTGGTCTCTTTGGGGAATACTGAAATAATGAGGCACATGAGGCTTTTTCTTCCAAATAAGTTCATTCAAGAAAGGATTTTTATTTATTGTGATGCCTTAAAGTTTTGATGCTGATCATTTTCCTGTAGAAGCAAAACATCTCAATTTATATATGATTTATTTTTAGCTACCAGTTTTCCAAAGTGACAACTAGAGCTTAATCGGAAATGACTTTTAGTATGCTAATTACAGCACTTCTTTCTACATGTTAGGCTTTAATTCTTTTAAAAAATTTTTGATATTTGCTAAACATCTTGATACCTGGTAGAGAGAAAAGGAAGAACAATCAAACTCTACTTATATTTAAAAATTGCTGGCATGGTAAGAAGAACAAAGGTCATTATTCCTTATTTGTCAGATTAGCTTCTAGAGTTGTATGGTAAATCCCATTTATGAAACTAAGACAGTGGAAAAAGAGGAATTTTATAAGTGCAACGAAAGTTTCATTCAGTTTACCTAACACATTTACTAAATATTCTAGCCCACGCAAAGGAGTGGAGTATCCCAGACAGACAGTCTCTAAATTGCCCCTACATTGTTGGGTCATCTGGTAACTTGATTGGCAGTAGTCCAGTACACAGCTCTGCATAGCATATTACATTAGGCAGTAAACAACCTTGATCCTACAAAGTCATACTCGTTTTGATTGTCCAGTTGCCATCTTAGGAGAATAAAACTGTTAAAGTGGGAGAGTGGAGCTAGCAAAGATTATTAAAAAGTAAGCTAGGTACAAAGATGCAGATAATTCTTCCTAAAGAGAAATTCACTCCATATAGTTTCAGTTCTATCCAGTAAGGGAATGTGTTGATTAAAAAAATATTAAGCATCTTCCTCAGAATTAAAAATGTTTCAACAGACAAGGTAATCCAATTATAACTTATTACACTGTCACCTGAATATATTTTAAGGGTATTTTTCTGCTCTTTTATTTTCATATGAATATATTTTCACTTCTCTTTTTGGTTTTCTCAACCAAGCCAAAAAATAGAGTGTAATCAGAGTTTATTATGTCATTTCATCGTCTTAAAAGGGACATATTTCTTAACTGATACGGAGGCTTTTGTACTATATGTTGTGCAAAACAGTGTGAAGTGAAAATGCCTTATGATGTATTGCCATAAACTCTAGAATATAAATACATGAATGGTTAAAATTTACTTCTAAAGTTTATTCCTTTTGTAAAATATTCCTTCATATCTTAACCTGTTAATTTCTTTCTTCTCCAGTTGATGGGTATTGCAACTGAAACAAAGTATGGAGGGACAGGAGCTTCATTTTTTTCCTCCATCCTAGCAATAGAGGAATTAGCAAAGGTTGATGCATCTGTATCTATTATGTGTGACATCCAGAATACATTAATCAATAAATTGATTGGAAGATTCGGGACAGAAGAACAAAAGGCAACCTACTTGACCAAGCTGACTAAAGACACAGTGAGTTAAGACAATTTTTCAAATTAACTAGCATTTTCAAAAATTAAGAATGTTTCTGCTTTTCAGAATTAACAAATACTAACAGTATGTGCGTTATATGTGAAGGATTTTTAAAGAACTAAGCAACAAGCTAATTTTTAATCTTAAATATTTTGTTGCAATTAAACAGTTTAGTTATCTGTTTTTTATATAAATACCATTTCTAGTTAAATAATTAACCAAAAAACCTTTCTGAATCAGTAATTTCTCACTTAATGTAAATGGACCATTCCACAGAACTCCCCTCATGGGGCTCCACTGGCATTTCCACCTCCTTGGCTCTACAGCCCCTCAAGCCAGAGAGGCTTCAGTGCCTGGGGCCCTGCAATCTGAGCTACTTTGGTGCCTGGAGAGGAGGAGCCCTAGCTCAGGGCTGTCTCAGTTTTGCCTGAAGCTGCCCCCTCCTGCTGGGAGCTAGAGCCAGGGCTTGTGCAGGCTCTTGCTGCCCTGTCCTTTTCTGCATAATGTGAATTTACATAAAACAAGAAGCATCTGTATTGAAAATGATTATGTTCAATAAGTTACTTCAAATCTTCGGGGGGCAGAGCCAAGATGACAGAGAAGAGGAAGCACTCAGCCGAGCTCTCCCGGCATTCCCCTCCAAACAACTTTAAAATAACTCCTCAGACCAAATTCTGGAGAAGCAACACCAGCAAAAGTTCAGGGTGAGACATTCTTCCAGCCAAACACAATTTAGGAAGTTGGAAGGAGAGATCTGCAATACAGAAAAAGAGGCTGATTCTGAATTCATGTGGATAAAACACCGATGGTAGGACTAAGTGGTAGCTATTAAAAGCAGCAGCAGCTTCAAGAGGTGTCCAGCCAGAGATGGTAATGGGACTTGGCAACTGGTCATATAGAGATTATAGGGGGCCCCTTGCTAGCACCGGACACAGGATGGGATGCTGTTTGGAAAGTCTATCACCTATGCCCACTTTCAGGTCACTGTTCAAAAGCAGAGAAGAGCATTTGTGGTCAAGAGGTAGCAGGGCTGAGGAACAATATCACTCCTAAAGGAGCAGGAATGCTGAGGAGCAGTATTGATTCCACTCCCAAGGGATCTTGGGCCCTTTCTGGGTAAGGACCAGAGTGCAGACCAGGAGAGGAGTGACCACACCTCTCCCAAGATCACACCACCATGGAAGCACTGAAAACTTCCAAACCCCGAGAACTAGCTCCAAAAACAGCAGTATGAAAAAATACTAAAGGTTGGGACAATAGCACCCCCCCTTCCCACCCCACACCAGGAACAGAGCCCAACTGCAATATAATGCTCAAAATAAAGAAATAGGGTGGAAAAATGAAAAGCCACACAAAAAAAAAAGAATCTGACCACAAAAAGCCACTATGGTGACTGGGAAGATCAATGCACAAACTCAGAAGACAAGTCAAAACAGTTACAAGCAGATCTCAAGGGGAAATGTGAATTGGAAACAAGAAAAGAATTCCTATAAGTCCTAAAAATTATTTTTATAATCAAATAAGAATGGTGGAGGTAAAATTGGGTAAAGAGATGAGAGTGAAGGAAGAAAATTATGGAAACACAAAAGCTTATCAAAAGAGGTACAGAAAATACTGAAGAAAATGACACCTTAAAAAGCAGAATTGGCCAAATGGAAAAAGAGGTATGAAAGTTCACTGAAGAAAATAATTCCTTAAAAGTTAGAATTGGGCAAGTGGAAGCCAGTGATTCCATGAGGCATCCAGAAACAATAATAAAGTCAAAATAATGAAAAAAATAGAAGAAAGTGTGAAATACCTCATTAGGAAAAATAACTGACCTAGAAAATAGATTAAGAAGAAATAATTTAAGAATTGTTGCACTACTTGAAAGTCATGATCAAAGAGAGAGCCTAGACAACATATTTCAAGAAATTATCAAGGAAAACTGCCTTGATATCCTAGAATTAGAGGGTAAAATCAAAATTGGAAGAATCTACCAACCACCACCTCAAATTCCAGAGCTCCCAGATCAAAAAGGAAATAATACTTGAAGCAGTCATGAACTATTTAAATACTTGGAGCCACAGTCAAGATCACACAAGATTTAGCAGCTGCCACATTAAAGGAGCAAATGGCTTGGAATATGATAATCCAAAAAGCAAAAAAGCAGGCATTACAGCCAAGCATAACCTACCCAGCAAAACTAAGTATAATCCTTCAAAGAAAAAAATAGATATTTAACGAAATAGAGGACTGTCAAGTATTCCTGATGAAAAGACCAGAACTGAATAGGAAATTTGACTTTCAAATACAAGACTCAAGAGAAGCATAAAAAGATAAACATGAAAGAGAAATCATAAAAGACTCTGTTAAACAGTTTGTCTTTCTTTCTGATGATAGAAGATGGTACGTGTTACTCCTAAGAACTTTATCATTATTAAGACAGAAGTATTCTACATAGAGGGTATAGGAGTGAGTTGATTATGTAGGGATGATTTTTTTTTTTTAATGGACAGATGAGAAAGATGGATACCCTGGGAGAAGGCATAAAGGAGAGGAAGAATGGGGGAAATTATTTCATATAAAAGAAGTGTTAAAGGAAGAGCTTTTACAATAGAAGGCAAAATGGTAGGGAGGCCAGTAACACTTGAACCTCACTCAACTAAATTGGTTCAAAGAGGGAACATACATACATACATACATACATACATACATACAAATATATATGTATATATATATGGATTTACATGTGTATACACACATGCAAACAATTTGGTATAGAAATCTTATCTTACCCAATGGGAAAGTAGGAGGGGAAGAGGAAAAGAAAAGGGGAGTAGTAATAAAAGAAAGGGTGAATAAACGAAGACAGTGGTCAGAAGCAAATCAGACTTTAGAAGAGGAACAGGATAAAAAGAGAAGGATAAACAAGAAAATGGGATGGAGGGAAATGCACAGTTAGTAATCACAACTATGAATGTGAATGGGATAAACTTGCACATAGAGCAGAAGTAGATAGCATAATGGATTAGAAACCAGAATCCAACAATATTTTGTTTACAAGAAAGACAGTTGAAACAGAAACACGAAGAGTTGAAATAAGGGGCTGGAGCAGAATCTATTATCACCCTTTGTTATACTTAGAGAACCCTAGAGAATCAACTGAAAAAACTAGTTGAAATAATTAACAACTTTAGCAAAGTTGCAGGATATAAAACAAACCCACATAAATCATCAGCCTTTCTATGTGCTACCAACAAAACAATTTACAGTCATATGAAAAAAAAGCTCTAAGTCATTATAGATTAGAGAAATGCAAATTAAAACAACCTTGAGATATTTTACATCTATCAGATTGGCTAAAATGATTGAATGGGAAAATAACAAATGTTAGAGTGGATGTGGCATAATTGGGACACTAATTCATTGTTGTTGGAACTGTGAGCTGATCTAACCATTTTGGAAAGCAACCTGGAATGATGCCCAAAGAGTTATTAAGCTACTTATACCCTTTGACCCATCAATATCACTACTAGGTTTGTTTCCAAAGATGATTAGGGAAAAAAGGAAAAGAACCTAGAAGTTTTAAAATATTTTAACAGCTCTCTTTGTGGTGTCAAAGAGCTGGAAATTACGGGGATGTCTATCAATTGAGGAATGGCTGAACAAGTTGTGATATAAGATTATGATGGAATATTACTATGCTATAAGAAGTGATGAACTTGATGATCATAGAGAAACAGACTTGCATGAAATAATGAAAAGTGAAATAAACAGAACCAAGAGAACATTGTATACAATAACAGCAGTATTAAAAACAATTCTGAATGGCTAAGTCATTTTTGCTATTATAAATACACAGATTAACTACAAAGGACCTGTGAAGGAAGATGCTATATGCATCCAAAGAAAGAATTGGTAAATAGAAGTAGGTATACAATGATTTTACATATATATGTGTATGTGGGTGTGGGTGTATATGCCCACATACATATTTATATCTAATGGTAGTCACCTCTAGGGTAGGGGGAAGGAAGAAAAAAAAGAAATTTACATGATAACATGGAATAGCAAGATTTCATCTTTTTTTTATACTATGTTATGGAAATGCTTGTTTTATTCCCTAAATTAAAAATATAAAATAATTTTTAAAAGGAATGTAAAATAAATTAAGGGCTTGGACTAAGAAAAAAATAAATTAACAGGCAGCATAAAATACTTAGGTGTCTACTTGCTAAGACAAACCAGGGACTACATAAACACAATTACAAAACATTTTCCACAAGAATAACAAAGATCTAAATAGTTGAAGAACTACTAATTGCTTGTGGGTAGGCTGAGCGAATATAATAAACATGACAATTCTTCCTAAATATATTTATTCAGTGTCATACCAATCAAACTTACCGAAAATTATTTTATAGAGCTGAAAGAAAATAATAATAAAATTCATCTGGAAAGGAAAAAGGTCAAGAATATCAAAGGAATCGGTGAAAAAAATATGAAGGAAGGTGACTTAGCAGTACCTGATTTCAAACTATATTACAAAGTGGTAACCATCAAAACAATCTGGTACTACCAAAGAAATAGAATGGTGGGTCAGTGGAATAGTTTAAGTATGTAATACATAATATGAGGTACATGATACATAAATGAGTGTGTACATAATACATAAATGACCACAGTAATCTAGTGTTTGATAAACCCAAAGAGCCAAACTTTTGTGGTAAGAACTCACCATTTGACAAAAATGGCTGGGAAAACTGGAAAGCAGTTGGTAGAAAATAGGAATATACTAACACCTCACACCATATACCAAGAGAGAGTCAAATAGGACAATTTATAAATATAAATAAAGTAGGTAAAGTGTTTAGACATAAAAATGATATAAGTAAACTAGGGGAGCATGCAAAAATGTACTTCTCAGATCTATGAATAAGGGAAGAGTTTGTGACCAAACAAGAAATAGAGAGGATCACAAGAAGTGAAATGGATAATTTTGGATAAAATGGAAATTAAAGAGGTTTTACACGAACAAAACTAATGCAGCCAGAATTAGGAGGAAAATAGGAAGCTGGAAATTTTTTTCTGATAAAGACCTCATTTCTCAAATATATAGGGAACTGAACCAAATATATAAAAATAAGAGCCATTCCCCAGTTGATAAATGGTCAAAGAATGTGAACAGGCAGTTTTCAGAAAAAGAAATCAAAGCTATCAATAGTCACATAAAAATGCTCTAAATCACTACCAATTAGAGATATGCAAATTTAAAAAAAACTGAGATACCACCTCACATCTGTCATACTGTCTAACGTGACAGAAAAGGAAAATGACATGCTGGAGGAAATGTGAAAAAAATTGGGACAATAATGCACTGTTGGTGGAGTTGTGAATTGGTCCAACCATTCTGGAGAACAATTTGGAACTACACCCAAAGTGCTATAAAATCGTGCCTCCCCATTGACCCAGAAATACTACTAGGTCTGTATCCCAAAGAGATCAAGAAAAATTATTGTACAAAAATATTTATAGTTGCTCTTTTTGTGGTGGTGAAGAATTGGAAATTGAGGGGATGCCCATCAGTTGGGGAATGGCTGAACAAGTTGGGGTACATGATTGAGATATAATACCATTATGAACCTATGCAGAGTGAAGTGAGAAAACTAGGAGAACATTGTATACAATAACAGAAATATTATAAGGATGATCAACCATGAAAGACTTAGCTGCTCTGATCAAGACAATTACAAAGGACCAGTAATGAAAAATGCTATGCACCTCTGGAGAGAAAACTGATGAACACAGAGTACAGAGTAAAGCATACTTTTTAAACTTTCTCTGTTGTGTGCTTTCTTTTGCAACATGGCTGATATGGAAATATGTTTTGCATGGTTTCATATGTTTAATCAGTATCTTATTGCTTGCCTTCTCAGTGGGTGGGGGAGGGGAGGAAAGGAAAGAATTTTTAACACAAAATTTTTAAAGATAAATGTTAAAAAATTTACATGTAACTGAGACATATTTAATGGAATAAAAGTGTAAGAGTAAGTTTATAAATATCACAATAGTTTCCATTAATTAAAAATAAGTTGCTGTAAGGTAGCAATATGAAATTGTAGAAAGAGCAGCATTCTGGGAATCAAGAGGTCTAGATTTCTTCTTGGCTCCGCACTTACCATGTCAAATAGAACAATTCAATAAAGTGGGGGTGTTTTATGTTTCCTGTGCTTTCTTTCTCCCTTTATCATCTCCCACTTATAGACTGCAGCTTAAACATGCTCACTCTCTACCTCTTCAGCACCTTTTAGATGACTCACAATTAATTCATCAGGAGCCATAGTCCCTGATAGTATTCTATAATTTACACCCATACAGAATTGCTAGAAAAATCTTGACGTTAAAAAATGGCCTTGATTTTAATGAGAAGTTTGGTTTAAGAGCATTGTCCATTTTTGCCCAAAGGAACCTAGCCTACTCTCATTCAATTCTGGGCTCAGTTCATCATCCATCTGTTATGCCTGTCCCAAGATAGAGGTACTTGAGGTCCAGCTTTATGGGTTGCCCATCCATTTGCATATCTTCGTCTAGGCGATTGGCATTCACCGTCCAGTTGTTTTTCTGTGTGGTCATTTAGGCCAATTTATTTTGTGTGATTATGGATATTGCTAAGGAGGCCCTGCCTTGTTTTAGAGATTTTTGTAATCAGTTCAATGTTACCTGTAAGCAAAAGCATCAGAAGACCATATTGTTTGTCCTTCATTTTTAAAGAGGACCAGTGATATCATGGGATGATGTCTTGACTTTTGAGTGAATTGAATTTAAGTGAGGCAGAGTTGTACAAAGTCGTCAGTCTCACTCTGTCTTCCAGAGTCATCAAAGTCCGGTGGCAAGACAAAAATCAAGATGACTGTCAATGGCCAGGAATGCAGTGGATGACCTAGGCAACTTTAATGTCTGACCACTCTCAAACCAGTCCACAGCACCTGCTTCAGCCACCTTCGTGGCCATTGGAACAAATTATTCTCATCTGCCCATTCTATCAAGGAAAGTTTTGATTCATTCTCTGCACTGGATGTTGGCTGGTGCTGAGCACCTTTGGCAAATATAACGTCTTCCTGTTTTGTGCCTCAATGAATATTAATAATTAATGTAATTGAACAAAGTTACCTTTCGTTATATCTTTTAAGAAATCCTGAACAGTTTTGACATGCAAAGGGAACTTTAAAAGAGAACCTTTGAGGCAGCATTTTTCTTTAGCAAATCAAATTATTTTTGTACTTAACCAGGTGTGTCGGGGTTTTGTAATCTCTCTACATTTTAGTCAGTTGTGGGACTCTAAAGATTTACTCTCCTCCAAATTATTGTTTGTAAAAAGCCTGCCTGTTCCTTTCTCACATCTTGATCAAAGAAGCCCTCAATGCGCATGCATAGTATTCTCATAAAGATTTTTCTAGAGCTATAATAAAGCAAGCATATGGGTCAGTAGTTAATATTTCCTTGTTCACTTTTTATTTTCAATACTTTGCTGGCTCTTGTGGTTTCTTTTGGCCACTTTGTTATGATAATTGATTTACATTGGATAAACTTACTTGGAAAGTGATGATATTCTGTGTCAAGTCTATTTAATTATTTATTTCCATTTCTGTTTTAACAACTTGTTTGAATAAGTTAAATGATAGTTTCCTCAATTGCATATCATGTCTTGGATATTTTATATTTTTCTGCTTTGGTTTTATAATCTGCTTTGATTTTTTTCTGTTTTTCTGCTTTGCTTTTTTGTTCTAAAAATTGAATAGTCTGACTATAAGAAACAACTGATTCAGTAATGACTTCCACATCAGTAACCCAATGTTTCCTGTGTTAAAATAAAAAATAAAATCAATTACATTTCTTGTGACATTCACATTGTGATCCTGTTCACATAGTCCAGTACCTCTTAGCTCCCTTTTTGTGGAATTTTTTCATGGTACCTATGTACGAGGCTTCTGTGTATAGTCTTCAATCCTGTGACCTGTTATTTCTTAACATTCTGAATCATGTTTTTCAACATATTTTCACTATTCTCCTCTATTCCCACTTCTACATAGAAGTCTCCAAATATTAAAGTATATGTTGATTTAGTTTGAATATATATTAAAAATCAAAATCATTATATTTTTAGTCAAAACTGTTTTCCAGTGTCATTAGGTAGTAACTTCTAATATAAGTTCTTGATCCATTTTTTTGTAATAACTGTAGTTATTTTAATTTTAAGTTCAACTATGTTTTGTTCCTATTAAAGTTCTCATGGTTTTTATTATGGTGAAATGTGAAAAATAATCATCAGAAAGAATAACATTGTTTTTAAAAATAATTTCTGCATACTTTTAAAAATACTAAAATATGGCTTTCCAAACTTCTCTTATAAATATAAACTTCTCATAAATTTACATAAAAATGTAAATACACCTACAATCTGAATCTTTTGTTTTCTTGAATACATAGATAGGAAGTTTTTGCCTTTCTGAGGCTCAGGCTGGCAGTGATGCATTTGCTTTAAAGACTAAAGCTGAGAAGAAGGGAGACTATTATATCATCAATGGGTCCAAAATGTGGATTAGCAATGCAGAATATGCAGGAGTTTTTCTGGTGATGGCAAATGCTGATCTTAATATGGTAAGTTTAGAAATGAAAATTCTTCCTTCCTTTTTTAATTTAATTTTTTTCCCATTGAAGCCCTGTGGCATTTGTATGTTTTATTCTTAAATAGAGACACAGAATCTAGAACCAGAAGTCACCTCAGAGGTCATCAAATCCATTTTTTTCCTTCACTCACCTTTATTACATGATTTGGTATTAAATTCACATATTTTTGATATATTAAAATTTTTCATCATTGAAATCACATTTTAAGCAAAATGAATATTAAGCATGCCTTTGCCTTAATAGTATTTCATTTTTTCTAATAAAATGTAAAGATAGTTTTCAGCATTCATTTTTATAAAATTTTGAGTTCCATATTTTTCTCCCTCCTTCTCTTCTTCTACCCTCCCCAAGACAGCAAGCAATCTGATATAGGTTATACATGTACAATAATGTTAGACACATTTCCACATTAGTTATGTTGTGAAAGAAGAATCAGAACAAAAGAGAAAAGCCATGAGAAAGAAAAAACAAAAAAAAGTGAAAATAGTATGCTTCAATCTGCATTCATACTCCATAGTTCTTTCTCTGGATGTGGTTAGCATTTTCTGTCATGAGTCCTTTGGAATTATCTTGGATCATTGTATTGCTGAGAAGAGCTAAGTCTATCAAAGTTGATCATCGCACAGTGTTGCTGTTGCTGTGTACAGTGTTCTCCTGGATCTGCTTTTTCATTCAGCATCAGTTCATGTAAGTCTTTCCAGACTTTTCTGAAGTCCACCTGCTCATCATTTCTTATGAAACAATAGTATTCTATTACAATCATATACCACAGCTTGTTCAGCCATTCCCTAGTTGATGGGGATCCCTACAATTTCCAATTCTTGGCCACCCAAAAAGAGCTGCCATAAATATTTTGTACATTCAGGTCCTTTCCCCTTTTTTACAATCTCTTTATTGCTGGAGCAAAGGGTATGCACAGTTTTATAGCCCTTTGTGCATAGTGCCAAATTGCTCTCCAGAATGGTTGGATCAGTTCACAGCTCCACCAACAATGCATTAGTGTCCCAGTTTTCCCACATCTTCTCCAACATTTATCATTTTTTTTCTGTCATATAGCCAATCTGATTGGTGTGAGGTGGTATCTCAGAGTTGTTTTAAGGTGCATTTCTCTAATCAAAAGTGATTTAGAGAACTTCTTCATATGCCTATAGATAGCTTTGATTTCTTCAACTGAAAACTGACTGTTCATATCCTTTAACCATTTATCAATTGGGTAATGCAAGTCCAGATTCTTTATACAAATAAAGAAACTGAGGCTCATAGAGGTTGAATGGCTTGTTCATGGTAACATACATTGGTTGGTTGTTTTTCTTCATGCTTGAAGAGGACCAAAATGTAATAACTATGTTGGGGTCAAGGTACATTGTTTCCAACTATGGCTGATGAGATCGATACAAGCTCAGAAGGCTCCACCACAGGTTAGGTACAAATAGTTCATATGAAGATTTGGAGTAGAGATGTCTCTAGCATAAGTAACATAGGTAGTAAGTAGGAGAACCAGGATTTGAACCAATGACTCCAAATTTATTGTTCTTTCTAGTATTACGGGTTGAATAGTCTGTTTTAAGTCCTGGCTCTGTGAGCTGTTCAGTGTTTGGCAAGGGAACTTTAGTTTTCTCGCCTCTAAAGTGGTTTTAGTAATACCTGGCGTATAGGTTTATGAGGATCAGATGAATGAACAAATGAAAAAGCATTTATTAAATGCTTACTGTGTGCCAAGAACTGAGATAAGTGCTGGTTACACATGCAAAAGTTAAGACTGTTTCTTGACCAAAGGAGCTTACATTGTGATCAAGAAAACACATACAGGGGAGTGGTCGTCAGGGAGGTGTATTCTGATTTGGGAAGTTAGAAGTATGGTGAGGGGGACAAGGGGGAAATGGCATTATGCAGGAGTAAAGTAAAATGTAGCTGGAGCTGTTATTGCATGTCATGGACACCTGAAGCAATCCCCAGGTAGAAGTCACTCCCCTGGGTTCCCAGGGATGAAAAGGTTAAGTCCTCTAGGGCTTGGTTTCTGGTCTAGGCAGCATAACATGGCCTGGAAGTAAAGTGAAGTGTGGCTGGAGCCAGTCCCAGAGTAGGTAACTAAGGCAGACAATCCATCAGCCATCACTCTCCAAGGTGGTGAGACCTCACATCTCAGTAGCTGGGACTTTGGCCCGACAGAACTAGATTTAGAATCCAAATGATCTACTTTCCCACTCACTCAAGGTCTTAGTTTCCTCTTCTATAAAATTATGATGTTTGGACTAGGTGCATCTCAGCAACCTTTCAGCTTGGAATATTATGATCCTAGATATCTCACCACCCATGAACAAGGAAAATGAGATTAGTGACACATGCGTGTTCCCTTCCACTTCTGAGAGTCCATTTTCTATTTAGTGGAAAGATGCTTGCCAGTCTCATTTCAGGAATCCTGGTTTAGCAGAAATAACCCTGAACTTGGAATTGAGAGGCCCAGTTTCAAATTTCTGTTCTGGCCCTTACCAGCTGTGAAAACCACAAGATAGTCATAACTTCGCTGAGCACAATCTAATGCTTTGTGTATCCTCCTCAAAAGTTTGTGAGGAAGGTGCTTTATGAATTCTAAGGCTTATTGGAGATAAATAGAGATTGTTACTACTGTCTCCTAGAAATGTAGGTGGAGCCAAACTTCACAGCCAAAATCCATGTCATGGACTTCGGGGAAATTGCATGGTCAGGTTTTGCCTTCTTTGGATGCCAGCATCCTTCCCTCAACCTTGTGTGCCCACCAGCAGGAAGAAGCCAGAGGAGAGAGGATTTGGGGTTCAGTCCCCCAAGCCATTTCAGCTTCTTGACTATGCTGAGCCTCATCAAACATCCTGGCATCTTGTCCAAAAGCTTTTCCTTTGCTGTTCCCTCCATTTTTACTGAAGCTCTTGGATGCTGAGCTCAGGGTAGCCCACTGAAGAGCTTCAGAAACCTCCTTGATAAGCCATCAGCCCTCTAAAAAATTGCTGATCTCCTAGATACATCACTTGGCCTCTTCTGTACCTCAAGGACCCCCCATTTGACCTCCACCCACTTTTCAGCTCCTCCTGTCCTTTTGGCACCCATTTCATAAACATTTAACAAGTCCCCACTGTATACTGAGCCCTGTGTTTGATAGAGGAGACAGAGTCTAGTAAAACATAGTCTTTGCCTTTCTGGAGCTCACAGTCCAACGGTGGGAGAAGATGCAAGCACATAACCATGATGCACAATATGACAGGATCAGTGCTTTTGAGAGTTATAAAATAAATGCTATTTGAGGGAAAATGCTATCAAAGAAGCATAGAGGCAGTTGAGTATTGCAGCTCAGAAGGAACTGTACTAGAAGTCAGAAGTCCTAAATTCAAATCCAGACTGTCATTTATTAGCCTTGGGAATTGGAGGCAGGTCATGTCACTTCTCTCAGCCTTACTTTATGTGAGCTATGTAACAAACTATTAACATATTTTTTAAAAATTCAGTCACATTTGTATTGTTGACATGAGAATTTATTATATATAAATTTATACCCTATACTTTCCCAGTATTAATCTCATAAAATCCATATTATTCAAAGCAGGCTATTTAAAATAGCATTTATTTAAGGGATATTAAAGTTAACCTTTGACATGTAAGAAACAAATATTGTAGAAGCAGAAAAAAGGTGTAACATATACTTTCATTTGAAAATTAAGGTTTAAGAAACTGTTTAGCTTATTTTTCAATAAGTTTCATCTTTCAACTAATAGTCACTTCCTGTTATATGTAGAATGTTGTGTTAGTTGCAGTATACTTACCCTATTTCTTTGAGAAAATGGAAAATTGTGGAATTTTTTTAACCTTTGACTTCTGTAATTTAACAAATTAGATGAAATATGCAAAACTTTAAAATACTTAGTATATTTAGCAAATAGATTAAAACAGTATAATAAAAGGACTAGTACACCGGGAAAAGGAGAAAGGGAGAGGTAAAATGGGGTGAATTATCTAATATAAAAGAGAAGTAAAAGACCTTTTACAGTGAAGAGAAAGATGGGGGAGTTGGGGTCGGGGGCAGTACTTGAAACTTATTCTCATCAGAATTGGCCTAAAGAAGGAATAACATACACACTCAGTTGGGTATGGAAATCTATCCTCCCCTACAGGAAAGTTGGAGGGGGAACAGAAGAAAAGAAGGGAGCAGAGTACTGACAGAATGGAGAGCAGAATGGGGGAGGCAATAGTCCAAAGCAAAACTCTTTTAAGATGGTAAGGGGGAAAGGAGAGAGAGTAGGATAAATGGAGGGGTGGGAAATAGGATGGAGGGAAATATACAGTAATAACTGAAAAGATTTTACGAGCAAGTTTTTTCTGCTAAAGGTGTCATTTCTCAAATGTATAGAGAACTGAGTCAAATTTACAAAAATGAGAGCCATCCCCCAATTGATAAATAGTCAAAGGATACGAATAGGCAGTTTTCAGACAACATTATCAAGCTATCTATAGTACAAAAAATGCTGTAAGTCACTTGATTAGAGAAATACACATTAAAACAACTTAAGGTACCACTGCCATCTATCAGGTTGGTTAATATGATGGAAAAGGAAATTGAAAAATGTTGGAGGAGATGTGGGAAAACCAGGACACTAATGCACTGTTGGTAGAGTTGTGAACTGGTTCAGCCATTCTGGAGGGCAATTTGGAACTATGCCCAAAGGGCTATAAAACCACGTATACTATTTGATCCATCAATGCCACTGCTAGGTCTATATCACACAAACATAAAAAACCAAAAACGACCCATATGTACAAAAGTATTTATAGCCACTATTTTAGTCATGGCAAAGAATTGAAAATCGAAGGGATGTCTATTAATTGAGGAATGGCTGAAGAAATTGGGGTATATGATTGTGATGGAATACTGTTGTGCTATAAGAAATGATGAACAGGATGCTCTCAGAAAAACCTGGAAAGACTTGTATGGACTGATGAAAAGTAAAATGAGCACAACTAGGATGATGATCAACTGTGAATGACATAGCTGTTCTTAGCAGTACAATGATCCAAGACAATTCCAAAGGACTTATGATGAAAAATGCTATCCATCTCCAGAAAAAGAACTGATTAAATCTGAATACAGATTGAAGCATACTCTTTTTTTGGGGGGAGGGGCTGGGCAGTGGGGTTAAGTGACTTGCCCAGGGTCACACAGATAGTAAGCGTTATGTGTCTGACACCGGATTTGAACTCAGGTCCTCCTGAATCCAGGGCCGGTGCTGTATCCACTGCACCACCTAGCCGCCCCAGCATACTTTTTTTAAACTTTATTTTTCTTGTTTTTTTTGTGTGTTTTCTCTCTCAGCATGACTAACATGAAATGTGTTTTGCATAACTGCAGATGTATAAGCTGTATCAAATCGCTTGCCTTTTCAATGAGGGCAGAGTGGAGAGATGGTGGGAGAGAATTTGGAACTCAAAATTTTAAAAATCAAACAATAAAAATTGTTTTTACATGTTATTGGGGAAACTGAAATATTAAATGTATTTTTAAAAAGTCATTTAAAAAAATGAGGGAAGTAATGTAATACATGGCAGTCATTCTCTCATCATGATAGTTAAATTAAGGTTTGAAATCTATTAATGTTTACTACATAGTAAGTTTTTTTGTTCCTTTTTTGCCTTTGGAGACAAAACTTTTAAGAAACCCAAGGTGCTAATGGTGCTTTTTAAATCTGCTTTCCTAGGGTTATAGAGGAATTACATGTTTCTTGATAGATCGTGATACAGAAGGATTTCAGATAGGGAAGAAAGAAAACAAATTAGGACTCAGAGCATCTTCTACCAATACATTGATGTTTGATAATGTTAAGGTAGGTGTGACCCAATTTTCCATAAAACCATAATGTGAAAATAGGCTTTGGTTAGACTTGATGTAAGGAATAATGAAAAGAATGGTTTAAGGGGTGAGATTTTATTATGTCAAATTATATGTATGAAACTCTTGAATAATAATATTTAATTTACTCTGATCCGTAATGTACACTCCTTGAGGATTAAACCGTAGGACAATAACTTTGATCCTAGCTTACAACTTAATGTTCTCCTTATGGGATAGTTACCAGATGATCCCAATTTTGCTAATAGTTGTGAAAATGCAGTTATTAAAAAGTTGGTTTTTTTGAGCTCAAATGTAATGTGGCATTAAAAATCCATTGAAGCATTATCATAAAGGGCCATAAGGTGGCGATATTGTTCTATGAAAGTTTTACCCTTTTCTCTATAAAATGCATTCGAAAGGAGCTAGGGTCTTCATTGAAAATGAAATGAAATTTTATGTTCCCTGTTATCAGTTTTAAAAGCTAATGAATAAAATATTTTAAATTTATCTCTCCATGTCACATAAACTTCCAAATAAATGTTTTTCATTTATGTGGTCCTAAATTGATTTTTTTGTTATTGTTGATTAGTGATCCTCAGAAAAGTTTCTTATTCTTGCTTTCTTACATATTCACTCTGATAAATATTCAGTGTTTAATTAAATTTCAGTATTTCATTATTTATAATGCACGTTATAGTAATATAAAAATATGAATTAAGAGGCAATGTATTCATTTTTATATACAGGATGCAAAAAGTATTAAGTAATATTCCTTCCTTATTTCCACTTTTTATGTAATGGTCCTGGGTTAGAGACTTTACAGGTAGTCTTATTCAACCCTTTTATTTTACATAGATGCAGAAACTAAGGCCCAGAGAGAGGAATAAATCCAGTGCCCACAACAGTGTGTTAGACTCCTCTCATAGTGCAGATACATTTATATTTTCAAGTTAGGATATAAAAAGTATATGTTGTATATCTTGAGTAAATAAAATGAAAAATAATGGAACATTTTTATTCTTCAGGTACCAGAAACTAATATCCTAGGACGGCTTGGCAGTGGGTACAAATATGCCATTGAAATGCTTAATGAAGGCAGAATAGGAATTGCTGCACAGGTGAGTAGCACCTTCTGATGTTCAAACTTAGATCAGTTGCATTTGAATCAGTGAAGCTATAGAACTATTGTCAAGTCAAACTTCTAGAAAAGCTTATTGCCACTAGATGTCACACTTCTTTTACATAATGGAAAGAAAATGGCTATTTAAAGAGACTTTCTATATAAAATTAAGGGCAAGAAAGCAGAAATATCCAGAGGAAAAAAAGTATTGACACAGTACTGGCTGTTTTTCTCTATTTTAAGAGCACCAAAATAATAAATAATATCTATGTTGGTACTTCTAAAACGCATCCTAAAATTAAATGTGGCTTAAGAAAACAACTTTTCAAAGCATAAAATTCTTACTGAAGAAGCTTTGAAAAAAGAGGTTGGAAGGTCAGATATGAATAATATCAACTATGGTAAGATATGGGACTAGATATCACTAGTCCTTTGAGACTCTCAAGCTACTTGGCTTAATTTTAACAAGAACAACTTGAACCTATTATTTTATATGGGCATATAAAATAAAATTATCAGAATTAAATAAGCATGTAAAATATCATACTATTTAAAAGTTGATCAGATCTGCTCCTAAGAATTTTCTTTTTTTGGTCCAGACCTGTGTAAGTCTTCAGAGTAAAAAAATTTCTTTCAATAGTTCTTCAATGTAAAGAATTCCTTCCTTCCCCAACACAGAGCACCAGGCAGCTGGTCTGCTATTTATAATCTTAGAGAGTTGTCCGAGACACGGAAGGCTTAAGTGCCTCAGGGTCACCCAGACAAAATGTCAGAAGTAAGACTTGAAGTCAGGCTGGGTGGGTTATCTATATCCTACCCCATGATACCTTGCAAGGATTCCTGTTGTGACTGCTTTTAATAGAAGATGACTATTTTTCTCAGTTAAGTAAATAAATCTTCCACTGATACTCTGTTCCAATGTCTTATTCTGTTTGTATAAATTCTTGGCAGGGAGTATGGTGACCAAAACAATTTTTATTGACAAATTCTTTTCACCAGTGAGGTCAGGGGAGCCACCACATTTGGACCCTAACACAATCCCTGATGTGCATCATAAGGAAGGTAAAGTGAATCTGAAGAAAACACAAATGAGAAAAGAAGCTGAACTAGAATAAATATACACAGAGGAGATTCATGCTGCAGGCAGCAGTGTTTCCAGGGTATTGAGGTATTGATTCTCAAAGCATTTGAAAGAAGGGAATATTCACAAGATGGAGAAGAATATTAGACATATCACCAGGATCAAAACTAAGGCCTATTTGCCTTATTTTTCATTTTTACCAAATTTTGTGAGAATAATCTACATACACATCAAGAGCATCCTTGAAGGTCTGAGAAGAGAAGGAAGAAGCAGGATTTTGCAAATAATGTTCTAAGTAGACTGAATCTTTACAGAGTTGACTGAAGAATACGTTATCCCATTAAGTTTATTTGTTGAGTATAGAATATATTTGATTCAGTAGAACAGGATGCCACCTTAAAAACTCTCCTACATAGAGTTGACTTCATGTATATTTCAGAATCAGACAAAATTAATCAGCAGACATTAAGTGCCTACTTTGTGCCAAGTATTGTGTGAGGTACTAGGGCCACCAGTGCTAAAGTGAAACCGTCTCTGTCCTCAAATGGCTCAGCATATATAAAGTATATGCAAAATGAATATAAGGTAGATTTAGGAGGGAGGGTGCAAGCACCTATGGAATCATGTAAAAGGTGGCGCTTGAGCTGAGTGTTGAAAGAAACCAAAGATTTAGGAGCTTTGGGTACAGAGAGTTAGGGTATTTCAGGCATGAGACAGCCAGTGAAAAAGCACAGGAGTAGGAGATGGAATGTCTCCTCTACAGAATAGCAAATAATATAATAGACCAGGGGTGGGGAACCTTTGGCCTTAAGGCCACATGTGGTCTTCTGGGTCCTTAAGTGTGGCCTTTTGAGTGAATCTAAATTTTACATCACAGATCCTTTTTTTTTTAATACTTTTTTTTATCTTTTGTAATTTTATTTTCAAAATGAACATATTTAAAATACCAAAGAATAAAATAAGTCTTAATGAAATAATCCTCCCAGATTGACTGCCACAATTAAACATTAGTAAGCTATAAGGGCTAAATTGATAACTGTTACGCTTATTATTTGGTTCTAACTTTCCCCACCTTATTAGCACCACTACTGCATGAGGCTGGTTGGTGAGAGTTTATGGGGGTTGAGTTCACCAGTCTGTCATCAGCTTCTGGCAACTGTTTGAAGTGGAATGTGTGAATAGTTGCATAGCTCAACAGTGTTTTTTAATTCTGTCTGCTTAACAGTCCATCGTGTCAAAGAAGACCAAGAGAACATTTTGGGGGGGGGGGGGGCTAGGCAATGGGATTAAGTGACTTGCCCAGGGTCACACAGCAGAAAACATTTTTTAATGAGGATTGGGAATTGCAATGTTGCCTTGTTTCTGCTAAAGATAAGATGATTTGCTTGCTTTGTTATACTACGGTATAACATTAAAGAAATCCAGTGTTCATCAGCATTATAACACTCATAAGAACCACAAATATTTTAAATTAGAGGGAGAGGCACAAAAGGTTATATTGCAGAAATTAAAAGATGAAAAGCAAAAGCATAGACATGTCTTTCAAGCAGCAATAATGCCTGGAAATAATGCCACTGAAGCAACTTAGCTTATATACTTGGGAAAAAAGAGAAGCCATTCAGTGATGTGGAAATTGTGAAAGAATGCATTATCAAAGTTGTAGGATGCTTAGACCCTAATAATGTTTCAAAATACAAATAGTTGCCTCTTTCAGGGAGAACCATAACTGATTGGCAACACAAATTAGCCTTCAACTTAACAGAACAACTTCATGCAATACTTTAAATGGCAAATTTATAGTATTCAGTTGCTTTGAATGAATCAACTGATACTACTGACGTAGTACAGGTTTTATACTTACCATTTGGGTCATAACAGGAGATTTTCTTTTCTGCAAAGAGTTACTTGCTTTGGGCACTGTTGTGAACAGAACAGAGGGAATAGATATCTTCAGCAACTTTCAAGGTAAATGTTATGAAGCTAGACAGAATTTGGTAACTTTAGTGGTTGTATGTAGAGATGGTGCACTTTCTGTGACAGGAAAACATGAAGAGTTTATTGCACAGATTAAAAAAATATTAGATCAAGATGCTGTCAATTTCTTTTCATTATATCTTGCCTCAGCAAAATCTCTGTGCTAAAGCTACTATTGTAAGTGACACTTTGCAACAAGGTACAAGTTTTGTTAACTGTATTTGTGCAAATGCAACACGGCATTGTCAGTTTCGTTACATGTAAAGTTGAACGCTGAGGTATTCAGTGTGGATTTGCTGTATCATTCTAAAGTGCATTGGCTATCACAGGGACAAGTATTAGCCAAAATTTTATCTCTACGACAACGATAGTTAAATTTTATGAAGAAAGAATTAGCAATATGAATTATCGAAAGGAGATTTCTATAGGAATGCTGTATTTCTGTGTGATGTCATGTCAAATCAAAGTGACTTGAATTTTTTTTGCAAGGTAAAACTAAGTTGATATATGATATGTGGCAAAAAATCCAAGCATTTCAGAAAAAGCTATCTTTTTTCAAAACGCTGCTTCTTCAAAAGGAAATTTTGGATGAACATGTTCCCTAGTTAGCAAAAGTCATTGATGAGCAGGATGATATATGCAAATCATTTAAAAACATGATAACACAGCTGTTATAGACCTATTAATTGGAGAATACAATGTAAGATTCATTGACTTTGAGAATCATGACATCACACTCAAATTAGCATTTCATTCTCACCTAGTTGATATCACCAAGGTACCTAAAGAGCTACAGATGGAATTGCTTGAGCTCTCAGTAGATGACATTTTAAAAGTCATTGTTTGATGCTAAGAAAGATCCAATTGAAATACGGAAAAATGCAATAGAATGCCTTTGGCAACAAGCCCAAAAAGTACTTTCTTGTTTTTCAACCACTTATTGCTGTGAATCTGGATTCTCCTACCTAACCCAAATCAAGACACCCTTAAAGTCACAAATGACTGATACCCATCTGGAGGATCAGTTGAAACTATGGACTTCCATGCTGCAACCAAATATTCAAATGCTTTCCAACAAAAAGCAGACACAACAAAGTCATTAGAAGGTTAGGTAACTTAAAAATTAACAGTGTTCATCTTTTGAAATTATTAAGTACATAGATTTTTACAAAATAATGTATATTTTAAGTATATCTAATTGAAATTTCTTGAATGCAGCCTTTTGATTACAGCTAAATATTAATTCAGCCTTCCATCATAAAAAGGTTCCCCACCCCTGTAATAGACTCTGTAATCTGGACTGTAGCATGTGTGGAAGGGAGGAAAGAGAGAAGGGGTCCAGGTTGCGAAGCCACAAAGGAGATTATATTTGATCCTAGGAAAATAAGAGAGCCCCTAGAATTCCATGAAAGCTGTAACAGCAGAGAGAACTTTGAGACAGGATGGCACAGAGAAAAGAAGGCTGGATTTGGAGTTGGATGCTCTAGGTTCACATTCCAGCTCTGCCATTCCCCATGTGACTGAGCGAATCATCTAAGTTCTCTGGGTCTTAGTCGTCTGGAAAACAAGGAGTTTGAACTAGATAAACTTCGAGGTCCCTTTTGACTCAAAATCTGTGATCCTTTGATGACTCTGTGACTGTAAGTAGCAAGTGAAATCAAAACCAGGAAGATATATGCTTCCCACGGGTGTTTTTTACTGTCATTTAAGGTGTCTTTTCCTTTCAAGCACCATCTTATACACAGATCCTTTCCTTTTCTCCCCAAAATGCTAGTGTTCTCCCTCCCAAACTATTTTGTATTTTAATTACTTTTAATGTTTGTCCTTATAAACTTTATATTTATGCTGTGTGTATATATTTTAAAGGTGTTTTTCTCCCCCATTAGGAATTGTTTCATTCTTTGTACTTATATCCACAGTACCTAGCAAACAGTAGCACTTCACAAATACTTGTCACTTAATTGGTTGATAATCAGAGCAAAATCCAAATGGAAGACTTGATTGCTTTTAGATGATTAATTCTTTCACATGTCCCTGTTTGTTAATGACACAGTCGTGATTGTATCAAGTCCCAGAACATTGCCTAATCTTCTAAATGAGATCCATAATTACTTTTAAAAGTTTGGCCTAAAATATCCAAAAAGGAAAAACCAGACAGATGAAGAATATCTGTTTTTCATACTGTAGTAGATATAGTCCATTGGAATATACATCATTATCATCAATACAGAGACTACAAATGAACAGTGCTAGGTCCAGAACTAAACAGGAGAATTAAAAATTGTATTTTTTGGAAATTGCTGAATTATTTTAATTACTATAAGCTTCTCTTGAAACAAAGCCTATCCTCGTAACATCCATACTTTTGTGGTACTGCTGTATCAAACATCACCTGAAGGGCACTTTCAGGATATGTGACTAGTTTGAAGAGATTGTAAACACATTAAAAACAAGGAATTTTACAGAAGTAATATAAAGGCTATCATCAAATAGGCTTCTGACTAGAATAAGGCAAGCTGGTTAAGTGAAGGGATCTAGCTGATGTTATTCCACATAACTGATGTACACCATTGGTTTCCATGTAATATCAAAACAAGAGGAGCAATTAGGTGGACCCCTACAGCAGATTACAAAGAGAACATGGACAGGATTCCCACAGGATGGGGAGGCATATGAGAATATCTGATCATTAGTGGATGTAACCACATCAATAAGAACACAGATTTATTGAAGTACAGAAATATATGTATCTTGTAATTTGTGAATCATCATTATAGAACTGATGATTCCCCTCCCCATTTTTCAACTTATGCTACTCAGGCTTCCCAGAAGGCAACATAGTATGCTTCTGTATGATATTGGCTTTTCTATCCTTTTTAAAGTTTATCTGTGATTAAACTTTGTCAGATGTGGCACTAAAAACTGCAGCACTAGATCTCATTGTTTCCAGGGATATAAATAATATAGGTGTTCTGGCAGTAAAATACACTGCCTTGGCTTTACTCTAATTACTCTAAGTTACTCTTATAACCTAATTAAAAGTTAAGGTCATATAGTTATATCTTGATTAATACTTTGGGTATCTTTTAGTGAGAGAGGAATGTGTCACAGAATGAAAAGAAACATCAATCCTTGAAACTCTAAATGTAGAGGATTTAGCTTTGCAACATTTACAATAAAAGACTTTTTACTTCCATAGAATGCAATTTTGATTGATAACTGATTTTATCAGTTTTTTTAGTCAATAAAAATACCATTTGTCTCTATGAAAATTTTAATAATAAGACTATGGGATAACCATGTTATCTCATTGACAGTGCTTCAGTGTGGTATGCTGTCTCCCACTGCTTAGACATTATTTGTATTTTATATTTGATATTATTTGTATATTATGTATACCTTGAAAGCAAGAAATTAAAGGAAAACATAAAGAAATACTAATGAAACATTGATGAGTTTGAAGGTATTTCTGCCAAAACTCTTTGTTTAACTCTTATTTTTTCCCTTTAAAAAGTAGACAACCCAAAATTGGTAGTCATTTGGATAATAATTTAATGGAGCTCGCAGATGTAGAGCTGAAAGGGACCTTTGGGGTCAGTTTAAATTCCTCACTTTATAGATGAGAAAACTGAGGCCCAGAGAGATCACTCAGCAGTATATGGCAGAGGTGACATTTGAACTCAAGTTTTCTGACTTTACATCTAGTACTCTTTCTTCTATGCCATGCTTTTGGATACACAAAGTAAAATTTTGTCACAGTTTAATTGGCTCAGCACTTGAGAGTATGGGAAAAGCCATATTTAAAATTTTAACACATTTTTACTCACTAAAGCCTCAGTGGTGTGAATTGGAGGTGATTAGTGCTTTTACTGTACATCTTATATGTTCTAATGCCCTTTTCACCAAAGTGTTAATAATCCTATTAATCATAATCACATGTGATTCAGAAGAGAAGCTAAAGACAGACTGGGTAAAAAGACAGAACATTCAGAAGTGACTTCCCAAGTGAGGATAACCTCCTTAAACCAATCTGAGTGAGACATTTGGGGGATCAGAAAATTGGAAATTAAGAAGGTTGGTTATAAAATACTGTGATCTTCTGCTGTGCAAAGAGACTTACTTTCTTATATATGGTTCAGTATGTCTTATAAATAATATCTCCTGTAGTCATTGGTGTTTTGGCCAGGCCATTTTATACCATTCCTATTTTTAAAAATACCCCCTGGCCCCAATAACTATTATTGTTTTCAAAAGTAGCTATTATATCTGCCAAGAAAAAGATTCTACCACTGTGGATAAATTAAAATACGAGCATGTAAGCCAATCTAGCCTTCTTTCTTATCATTTACAGATGTTAGGACTGGCACAAGGATGTTTTGACTATACCATTCCATATCTTAAAGAAAGAATACAGTTTGGTGAAAGAATATTTTCTTTTCAGGTAAAAATTATAATGATCACTTAACCCTAATCATTTATTTTGCATTATCAGAGAAATCCCTCATAAATTTGTAAAGGGTTTAAACGGGGTAGTAGTAAGGGCATTAAGAATCAGAAGTTCCTTGGCTAAAATGGAAGCTATATGATGGGGGTTAAATATGGCTTATCTAAAAATTTGTATTTTAGTCATTGTCTACCACAATGTTCTTTTTCCCCCTTTTTAAAAATTTTATTTTGAGTTCCAAAATCTCCCTTTCCCTCTTCCTTCCCCACCCATATGAGAAGGCAAGAAGAACAAAACTTGCATTATAAGTATGTAGTCATTCAAAGTTCCCCATTGCCCATGTCCAAAAAAAAAAAAAAAAGAACATTCTCTGATCTAAATTCTGAGTCCATCACTTCTCTATCTGGAGGTGGATACCATGTTTTATCATGAGTTCTTTGGAACTGTGGTTAGAGTTCCTAAGCCTTTCAGAATTGATTGTCCTTACAATATAATTGTTATCATATAAGTTGTTCTCCTGGTTCTGCTCACTTCACTCTGCATCAGTTTGTTCAAGTCTTTCCAGGTTTTTCTGAAACCATCTCCTTCATTATTTCTTGTAGCACAGTAGTATTCCATCACGTTCATGTATCATAACTTGCTTTGCCATTGCCCAGTTGATGAGCATCCCCTTACTTTCCAGTTCTTTGCTACTACAAGAGGAGTATTATAAATATTTTTCTGCATTTGAGTCCTTTTCCTTTTTCTTTGATCTCTTTGTGGACATAGAGCTAGTTTTGCTGGGTCAAAGAGAATGCATAGTTTTATAGCTTTTTGAGCATAGTTCCAAATTGCTTTCCAGAATAGTTGGACTAGTTCAGCCACACCAACAGTTCATTAAAGAATCTATTTTCTTAAATGCTCTAAATCACTATTGATGGGAGAAAAGAAAATCAAAACAACTCTGAAGTACCACATCACACGTATCAGATTGTCTAACATGACAAAAAAGGAAAATGATAAATGTTGGAGAAGATGTGGGAAAACTGAAACACTAATGCATTGTTGGTAGAGTTGTGACCTGATCCAACCATTCTGGAGAGCAATTTTGGAACTATGCCCAAGGGCTATAAAACTGTGCATACCCTTTGACCCAGCAATACCACTTCTAGATCTGTATACCAAAGAGATAATAAAAATGGGGAAAGGACCCATGTATACAAAAATATCTATAGCATCTCTTTTTGTGGTGGCAAAGAATTGGAAATTGTAGGGATCCCCATCAACTAGGGAATGGCTGAACAAGTTGTGGTATCTGAATATGATGGAATACTATTGTGCTATAAGAAATGATGAGCCAGGCAGTCTTCAAAAAAACTTGGAAAGACTTACATGAACTGATGTCGAGTGAAATGAGCAGAACCAGAGGAACATTTTACACAGTAACAGCCACATTGCGTGATGACTAACTTTGATAGACTCAGCTCTTCTCAGCAATGCAAGGATCTAAGACAACTTCAAAAGACTCACAGGAAAATGCTATCCACATCCAGAGAAAGAACTATGGGGTCTGAATGCAGATCGAAGAGTACTATTGGCTCTCTTTTTTGTTTGTTTTGTTTCTTCTTTCTCATGGTTCCTTCCATTGATTCTGATCCTTCTTTACAACATGACTAATGTGAAAATATGTTTAATATGAATGTATATGTAGAGCCTATATCAGATTGCGCACCATCTTGGGGAGGAGGGGAGGAAGGAGGAGAAAATTTGTAACTCAAAATGTTATGGAAGTGAATGTTGAAAACTAAAAATAAATTAATTGATTAAAAAAATCTATTTTCTCATAGCCCCTGTAGCATGTCATTTCATTTTTTTGTAAACTTAGCCAATGTGATGAGTGTATCCTAATGTTCTTCAAAGAGTAAGCATTTAACAAATACTGTTTGTACGAATGGATATGAGTCATGAGGAATGAATCATGTAAGTGTACATGTGAATCCCTTGGCATTTGTCTTGGGACAGAGCGACAGTCCTTAAAGAACCTGTCAGCAGGTCTTTATGAGATGCAAACCCCAAAATATATAACTGATATATTGGCTCACATTTTTAAGGTACTACCATACTCTCAACAACACTTTAAGGCAGGTAACCTAAGCATTATTGTCTCCATTTTACAGACAAGGAAACTAAATCTCAGAAAGGTTCAGTGATTACTAGATGTAGTACTTAGTACTAGTAAGAGCTGGAGTTAGAATTCAAACTCAGGGCCCCAAACCCAGAACTGTCTTCCAGCATACCACCCTTCCTCTGTGCTTGAAAGGTGAATAGTGCATTATATTTGTCAAAGTGCTTTCATGTCCATAACCTTATTAGTTCTCTCAGCAGCATCATGAAATTAGTAGGGCCAATGATATTGTCCACTTTTCTATGTTTGCACAGCTAATTAGTGACAGAACCAGACTTAAAACTCTTGGTGTCCACTGCTTTTTTTGCTGGACTACACTATTTCCACAGAGCTGTTGGTATCATATCCTAGATTACCAGATAAGGAAAGAGTATGAAGCGAGGTTCTTTTCTCCTTTACACTATAGGAAAAAGGTGTTTGTGTGTAGCAGGTAGAATCAAACTCAGTTGTATTTAAAATGATAAAACACTTTATGAAAATAATCATAATTCTTTAAAACATCTTATTTAGGCAAAACTGCTGATATGCTATAATTTTAAAAATTAAAAAAGTTTTTGAAAAAAACCATCTTAGGATTGTTTTGGAGGATATCAGTTTTTCAGGTGAGGTTGTAAAATAAGATTGCTTTTCAGGGGCAGCTAAGTGGCGCAGTGGATAGAGAACCTGCCCTGAAGTCAGGAGGACCTGAGTTCAAATCGGGCCTCAGACCAAACACTCGACACTTACTCGTGGGCAAGTCACTTAACCCCAATTGCCACACAAAAAAAATAAGATTGTTTTTCTTTTTACTACTTCTCTTTAATTCATCTATAACTATTTGTTATGTTTTATATGAAATTTTAATTCATCTTTGAATGAGGCTCCTATGTTGTGAACACCCAGTGTTTCTATGTTTTTCAGATATTTCACTTTCAGGGCTAACTTTCTTCTACCAGTCTCTGTTTGATTAGTGAAGGCTAGCTCTTAGTCGAATGGGTAATTATATCATTGAGTTCAGGCATCAGAAGTCTTTTAGTTTTCAATAAATATTTCTAGCTAACATTTCCAAGGGTTTATCTTTTCCTGTAATTTTTTATGATTCAGCTTTCATAGTGAATTTTCAGAACTTTTCATGCAGGTTGAGCAATTCTTTTAAGTACGGTATGGAAAACAAAACAGCTTCCACTGGATTCTAACATCCTGGGAATAAAACTGTTGTTCATTTATATTGCTCAATAGTGATACTTTGTTATTATCACTTGCAAAGAGAGTAATGAATGTTTTAAAATATTTTTAGCGCTCTTATATTTGAAAATTTTTTGTGCTTTGGGAAATTTCAGAGTCAAGTTTTTTTCAAATAATGAAATAAATGGATATAACCAAATTTTGGCTTTACTAGAATTTACCATGAACTCTTTTTCTGAAGGATTAGAAATTATAATTAAGTTTAATAAAATTTTTTATCTAACTTTGTGCTATCTTATTTTTTATTATCTTGAATATTTATTGTGAAGAGTTATTTGAACTTTGAAGTACTCTAAGAAAAGAGGATTTTTAACAATGCATATGGTATCGTATTTCATTTTATAATGTAGATTAAGCAATATTTAAAAAGTAATGCACATGAATTTCCTTTTGCTACATTCTGTGTCTGACAGTTTTCCCTAGCAAGGCATTCCTTTAAGGATGAGAGATGTTCTTGCAAAGTACAATTATAACTTTAATTCTGGGTCTGAATATCGTAGGGAATTCAACATCAAGTAGCTCAAGCGGCCACGCAGCTCGAGGCTGCAAGATTGCTGACGTACAATGCTGCCAGACTTTCACAGACTGGAAAATCATTTATAAAAGAAGCTTCCATGGCAAAATACTTTGCATCAGAGGTAAGAATAGAAATCTACTCCAAAATAGTTTCTTCTTTGTGTATGTAACTGGTTTATAAAGACTTTTACCCAAAATTACTAAGTCTGCTGACTTAGATAGACTGCCCTTGGGAATTGAATAAATGCAGATGTGATTAGGACATTTTGATATTTTTGAGGGCACAAAGTTTTAGTTTAGTGAGTTACCTCTGGTAGGATCCTTGAATTAAAACTGAATTATTTGATAGAATTAACACTTCATTTCATAGTGAAGTTTTCAACACTTTTCATGCAGGTTGAGTAATTCTTTTTAGTGCAGTATGAAAAAAAAACCAGCTTCTACTGGATTCTGCCATACTGGGAAGAAAACTGTTGTTCATTTATATTGTTTGATAGTGATACTTTATTATTATCAATTGCAAGTCAGTTTAGGTGCTTATTAATGGTGAGATCAAGTTCGAAGTTTCAGTTTGGCCAGATAAAAGTGTAAAGGTGAAATGCCATAGAAAATTGTTATGTAGTATCTAAGGTCCCATAAACCACACCATGAGGAAGAACAACAAAGAAACCATTTCTCAGGGTCTCTTGATATTACGTGTTAATACTGTTCAAAGGAAAACAAAACCTTTGTTCTGATATATGTCATAAAGAGACATTTAACACATTAGGCCTTTTGGGGGTGCTTAGAGAATTACATAGTTATCATTTTAACAGCCAGTCCTGGCAATTTGTCCAATAGGCAGTGCAGAAAGCTAACTAATTTTGACTGGGTTAGCTGAAGGAAAGAGTTTTGTGGAGTCTGAGAAATATTGCAAAACTGACAAGACATTTTAAGGGGGGCAAGGGACAGAAACCAAATGATACTCTAGTCATCCTTTTCAGATGTTTTTCATAGTAAAAATGTTTAATTCCAGTGTATGAGATAGTGTAGCAAATTATTATGTAATATTTTAATTTTTTGCTAGGTTGCTGGACTGACAACTAGTAAATGCATAGAGTGGATGGGTGGAGTTGGGTATACCAAAGATTTTCCAGTGGAAAAATACTTCAGAGATGCAAAGATTGGTAAGTAGGCCTCTTTTCATACTCTTAATTAGTCATAAGAAATTACCTTCTACTCAGCATATACTGTCTGAGATCTAGTTAGGATTGTTCCCCTTCCTATTCCTTTAAAAAATTCCCATGAATTTATTTAAAGCACCAACGTACCTTTAAAAATGCATCACTAGCATTTAGATTCTTAAGGTAGCATACATATTTTTTATATAACAGTCTAAATATGAAAACAAATTTCATGCGAAGTAGGAACTTTAATATTGTCTTAATTTCTTTGCATTTCTTTAATGATTGGTATGGCTTAATTTAGTTGTTGATGCATCACTACATTTTTAGAAGTTAGTTGTTTAATAGAGCCTGACTAGTTCTGAACTTCTCCCTGCTAATTAAATAGGTAAAATTCCAGTGACTTCATAATGACCTATTCCATAAGAATAGAGCCAAGTTTTATTTATACTTCAATACTTTATTGAATCTTCAGTCTCATCTGCCTTCTGTTGATAAAGATGGCAGCCCATCTTATTTCCTCATCCAGTACTCTTATTGTCCTTGGTTTCCCATAAAACTCCTACAGAATATCTTTCTGGTGTTCTGGAGGCCTTCTTCTACGTTTCCCCATCTTCTGTGTAACTGACAAGATGGAAACTTGCAGTTTCTAATGTTGACTCTAAAAATCTTTAAGCCAGATAGAGAAATATTTCATGTTAGAAATTAGTACAATTCAGTAGTAGGAGGGTACATTAAGAAGAGATTGGCAGGTCGCCCGAATTACTGTTTCTTCCTGCATTTTTGAGTTCTGCCATCATTACTTTTCTTACTTTGTTTGAACCAGTTCTCATGTAACTAAAGTAACTCCCTCTTACACCTTAGAGAAACGTTATAGCAAAATAGAATCCTTCCTTTGCCATCCACAGTTCTCTGTTTGACAAAGCAATTTGATATTTAAAATCAATTTTGTACTATTTATCCTTAACCATATACTAGTCTTTATCAGCTTGGGACTTTTGTTAATAAAGATGTGTGAATTTTGTCATCAGTAGAACAATTTTTCTACAAGTTTGTTTTCAATAGACAGAATAACTAAAAGATAACCATAAAGGGTTCATGTTTGTTCTTTCCTTCATTGATTTTCAGTAGTAAGGCACAAAATTGGCAAGTAAAGCTTTTTGCAGAAAATTTGTCTAACACTCGACACCATATGTTTACTTCTTCTTGTTTCCATTTCTCCCTCCCACCCTGCCCTGTGTTTTAGGTGTGATATATGAAGGATCATCAAATATCCAGTTAAATACCATAGCAAAATTGTTAGGTCAAGAATACTGAGGATCATAAGAACATGATGACTGTTACTGTAGCCACTTATGTAAAACATAAATCGAGTGCCTTATATGGGAAACAGTGGAATGTTTTCAAGCTGGAATTGTCTTCTGTACTACTTACGTTCTTTTGGAATATATTGGGTCTCCTGCCTCTTGCTTGTCACCAGTGATTCAAAGCAGGTAACTTTGCTTCATGGTGAGCAAAGTTACTTTTTCCCAGCATTGGGCAAATTGAGATATTTCTTTGAAGTTAATTATTACAAAAATTGTCATTTCAACTTTATTTAAAATCTATCATATTTCTAATACAGATTAGAGAAATTGGTATTGGAGTACGTTATTTGTATTTAATATCTTTGCAGATTCACCAATGTCTAGTATAGTGCATCGAACATATTCTATTTTGCATATGATTTTGAAAGATTGAATGCTGGCAGATTCAGAAATTGATAGAAATTCATCAAGAAAAGCTAAGACAGTCATTTTAAATGTCAAAGAATTTGTATAGTATAATAGTACAAGTCAGTTAAAGGGACTGTTTAATTTATATTTAATTGTTTTAATTAGAACAAAATGTGATGTTTGCTGCTGAGCTCATTTAAAAATTATAAATGGTGTAATCATTTCAGCAGGTTGTTTAAGAAATAAATCTCAGCAATTTAAAAAAATGTCTCAGCATCACTTTTTTTCAAGTTGTATGGTTAAGAAACTTTGTAAAATATTTTAAAATCAGTTAATTTTGTAAAATTACAAGATCTCCACCAAGCACTGTTTTTCAGTAACTCAATATCTTTCCGAATCCAAATTGTATATTGTTAACCCTAATTAGTTTATTGAGCCTTATTATGAAAAAAAAACAAAAATTGTGTTTTTTAATCAAGTCCATGGTGAAATATGAATTGTTTTACTACTTTATTTTGAAAAGATTATGCTGCAAATCAGAGAACTTTGACATTTGGTATAAAGGTACATTTTCAAAATAAGTTTTCTAAAGCAAATAATAGTTAAGCGTCTGAAATGTATAAATACAACCTAAAGGGAGGAACCATCTTTGACTAATGAAGAGAGGAATAAAGAAAAATTTAGAATGTAGTTCAGAAAAGATAGCAATCTACTGTACTATAAAATAAGATAGTGATAAAAGTCCCAACATTCAGTCCTTCTGAGCAAGAAGTCAGAGCAACCAGATAAGGAAGGCATCACAATTCATTGCACCTTAATTTACCAGTTAAGATGCTCGAGGAATTGAAGGGGAACTATTAAATAGTGACAAAGAATTATATACACAATAGTGTCAACCCTTGCTGGTCTGGGGAGGAAAGGATTGATACCCAAAAGTAATGTTTTCAGTCTCCTTAACTTTAGAGATTTGTTTTAGAACACAGGAAATTAATTGATGTCAGAACCATTATTCTCCCCATTGGGTAGCTTGTGATACATTATTGGCATTACATTGAGCTTAACTGATAAGGAATTAATCTAGTTCCTGTCAGAAGTAGATAGATAAAACATGTGTTAAGCACTTACTATGTTCCAGGCAGCATACTAAGTATTAAGAATATGCTAATTCAGCATTATTTTAACTGGCATATCTTTACGTTTGCCAAAGCCATTGGCCGCTTGGACAGATCTGGAGTACTAGGCCTATGTTAAAAATGAGTATTACTATGTATTGTCATATGGACATGTGATTACAATGTATTTTGATTAATATTGCCATTGAATTACTTCATAAATGAGTTTTGCTGTCTAAATAATATGCAGCCATGCCATTCTGTTATAAATCAGTACTTTATGGAAAGTGAAAAAATCAAAGGCTAAATATCCTAAGGTGTCAATATTCTGATAAATGCAGAATTATTCATTATTGTCCATATTAGTGACTTTCAGAAAAAAATACCAGTGATCCTGCTTTTTTCTAAGTAATGATTAATACTGGATTTAAATATGTATAAGAAAGCCTTCACTTACTGAGGATTAATATTTACTTATTATATAACCCATTTCTGTCAGTTTTTCAGATAAGACTCTTAGTAGTGGTTATAATTTTACATTCTGGGTCCCCAGGCAAAACTGGTAGGGAAAATCTTGTCCCTTTTATTAGTTTCAAACTAAGAGATTCCCAGCAAAAAGGTCTCCTTGTTTGCAATGCAGATAGTACATATATCAGTCTTTTACAGAGTTATTTTCAGAAAACTGTAGTGATTTTGTTTTATTTTGGATCACAGGTGATTTCTGATTTTGTTAATGTAGGGAACTCCCTCTGCTTTGAATGGAGATCAGCCACCAGCTGAGCTGCCCCTCGTAGTCTTGAGAGAGCTAGCTGAGGCATTGAAAGGGGCCCCACCGGCGGCATTGAGCCAGAGGTGGGACTTGAAGCCACGTTTTCTGATTCCTAGCTGACTTTTTGTCTACTAAACTCTGCTGCCTTGCCTCTCTGGCATACCGTTGAATACTCATTGCTTAATAGTTTATCACTCTATATCCAAAAGTAGACCTATTTTTTTTACCCTTTTTCCTAAATTACATTGGAACCTTCTTTTTCCTTGTGTCATTATCTCAGTTGTCCCTTCATTTGCCATGTCATTTTATTTGCAGGCTGGTCTGGCCATAGAATTAGTCAGTCATCTACATTATTTGATATGAGAAGATAGGTTTGAACACCTACTTTGTTCAAGGCCCTCAAGTCAAAAATAAAATGGCTCTTGTCCTTGACTAATTTTCCCCTGGGGAGGAGACAGCATATATACAAATAAATGTTAAAGAAAGAGAGGAAACTGAGAGAGAAATGGGGAAAGACTTTGTTTTGTTTTGTTTTTGTTTTTGCAGAGTATATTTTATTTTTTAAATAATTTATTTTTAGTTTTCAGCATTCACTTCCATAAGATTTCGAGTTTTAAATTTTCTTTCCCTCCCTCTTCATCCCCTCCTCAAGATGGCATGCAATCTGATATAGGCTCTACTTATACATTCATATTAAGCATATTTTCACATTTGTCATGATGTAAAGAAGAATTAGAACTAATGGAAGAAACCACGAGAATGAAGAAACAAAACAAAACCATGAAAGTGAAAGAGCAGATGGTATGCTTCCATCTGCATTCGGACTCCATAGTTCTTTCTCTGGATGTGGATAGCATTTTCAATTGTGAGTCTTTTGGAGCTGTCTTAGCTCCTTCTATTGCTGAGAAGAGCTAAATCTATCAAGGTCAGTCATGGCACAGTGTGGCTGTTACTGTGTACCATGTTCTCCTGGTTCTGCTTACTTCACTCAGCATCAGTTCATATAAGTCTTTCCAGGTTTTTCTGAAGTCCACCTGCTCATCATTTCTTATAGAACAATAGTATTCCATTACATTCACATACCACAACTTGTTCAGCCATTCTCCAATTGATGGGCGTTCCCTCAATTTCCAGTTCTTTGCCATCACAAAAAGAGCTTCTATAAATATTTTTGTACATGTGGGTACTGGAAAGACTTTGTTGATGATAGCAGAGGTGAGCCTTGAAGAAAGAGAGGAGGAGGAGGGAGGGCATTCCAGGCAAGAGGAGGGACTTATGCTAATGCATACAGGCAGGATATGATGGTGGTGAGAGAGGGGGAAGGCCTGACTATAATTTCCACAGACAAGAATCCTCACAAACTAAACCAAAGTCACACATAAAGTCAGCTCAGATGTTATATTTGCAGCTGAAAGGAATAAGGCACACTCAGAAGACATCCTACACGTGCGTTAGATTTTTTATCAGGCCTAGTGTCAGAGGCCCTAGGTGCCAGTCGTTACGTGTAGGAAAGGATTGAATGCCTTTGGCCATAATATCTTCCTCTTTGATTTTAACTCCTGATTTCTTTTTTAATACTGGATATGTGATCTCATCCATGTGGGTACTTCTTCTTGCAATGCAGATTATACTGTCGTGCCTGCCCTTTCTATGGGACTCTTCTCTCTATCTCCCATCTGCAGTTCATGTCAGGGAGTTAATTTCATTTAATTCAATCAACATTTATAGAGTGTTCTCTATGTGCAAAATATTGTGCTATGAACTAATGTAATTCCAAATACTAATTCACTGTATAGCGGAGGGATAAACTGCTTCCTAATTCTGCACATACACAATGTGATTGCTCACAATTGCTCTAACTACAACATAATAATTAGAAGTATCACATCCTCATCAGCAGGCATCCTTCAGGATAGGGTCCGTAACCCAACAATAGTCAGAGTTCAGTTCTAGGGAGTCACTGTGTCTAGTCTTCATGCCAAGAGGTGACCACAGTGAGAGCGGATTGGTATGTCGACCACATCTCTAGCAGGAGAGCCCATATGAATTAAAAAACTGTAGCAAGGGTGGAGCCAGGGAATCTGAATCGACTCAGAAGCAGGGTTGGTGCCCAAGGACAATGTAGCTACGCTCAGTTTGTCCTCTGGCAGAATACTAGAATAGCCTTTTCCAGCAGATCTTTGTGAACTGTTCACTCAGACTCGGAGAATATAGAGAGTTGGCTATGAGATTTTGCCTTTACTAGCAGGAGAGTTATTACATGTCTGGAAAGAGAAAGGTAAAGAGCTTATATTTCAATGGACTTGGTTTTTTAAAAACCAAATGGTTTTTCTTATAGATAAGATTTTTCAGTTTTTGAGTATAGAATTGAACAGAAGGTAATTCCCGGCTGTGTCTGACAATATAACCACACTCAAATCCTTTTGGATAGGTATGGCCAGCATTTACATATCACTTTATAGTAACAAAGTACTTTACAAATCTCTCATTTGTGTCTCACAACAATTTAGAGAGACAGACTTTGTTATTATTCCCATTATACAGATGAGGAAACTGAGGCAGACAGAAGTTAGTTAGTTGCCCAGGGTCATACAGCTAGTATATATCAGAGGCAGGATTCAAACTCAGGTCTTCCTTAGCACTCCATTGTGCTCCTAGCTGCCTCATGCCTAGGGATAAGGTAAGCAAAGGATTATATCTCCTTCACAGCACCTAACCCACTTCGACAGAATTGACACTCAGTAAATGATCGTTAGATAGACAAATGATCGCTCAGACTGAGGAATGTGCTGTTGTACCCTCCCATTCATCTAGTTGCATTTTGAAATTGGTCCTATAACAGATGTGTAATCATGTAACATGTGTACAATTCCTTTGGACATTACTATTCTATTCTTTCAACTTGATCCAGATTCCAAGTTGACAGAAACTAGTAATATATGTCCTTATTGGTGTCAAACTCGTCTTAAAGCCATATTCTAAAGAACTGATTATGAACTTAAACGTTATGGTTTTCTATGTCTATTCAGTAATAAATTTCCAGAGATTAATTTGAAAGAGGCAGAACAATAATAAAACAACCAATATTGAATAGTTGGAAATGTGACCTAGGATATAGAAAGAAGTTTTTCCCCCGATCATGTGAAAGTGC